AAGCATGAGGCTCTGAGTTCAAATACCAGTACTGCCAAAAAGAAAGAAAGAAAATTAAAAGAGAGGGGCTGAAAGGCAATAGCTCAGTAAACTTGCCTAGCATCTGTGAGATCTTGGATTCAATCACCAGTCCCAACAAATAAAAATGAAAATGCAGAAAAGTTTTTTAAATCAAAGTAAAAAAAAATTCCATAGAAATGGAGAAAATACTTTAAAATCATTTATCTAATGTGAAATTTATATCCACAATAGAGCTCTTATAGATCAGTACTAAAAAAGACAAATGCAATGAACAAGGGATATAAACATTTTCCAAGATAAGATACACAAGTAGCATATGAAAAGATGTTAAATATTAATAATCATTAGGAAAAGCTAACCAAAACCACAATGAGGTACCACTTCACACGCACAAGGGGAGTTGCTTATTTTTAAGAGGAAAGTAATCATACTGGTGAAGATGCTGAGTTAACTTTTGTATACCACTGGTGGGAATATAAACTGGTGTAGCCACTTGGGAAAATAGTCTGACAAACCCTCATGTGGTTAAGCATAGAATTACCATACCACCCAGAAATTCTACTCCTAGATATATGGTCAAAAGAAATTAAAAGGACCAAATGCCTATTAACTGGTAGATGGGTAAACTGAATGTGGTATATCCATATAGTAGAATATTATTAGGACATAAAAAGAAATAAAATACTGATAGATGTACAACATGAATGAACCTTGAAAACAATAAGCAAAGTGAAATAAGCCATTTATAAAGGACCACATGTATATATACTATCTCACTTTTATGACATATAGACAATATCTCTATATGACAATAGACAATTCTATTGAGACAGAAAGTAGACTAGTGGTTACTTAAACCTGGAAGCAGAGAAAGAGAGACAAAAGGATAAGGAGATGACAGCTAAGAGGTTTTGTGTTTCTTTTTTGAGGTAATAAAAATGTTCGTCCACTGACTGTGTGATTTTTCACATATCTGTGAATACACTTAAAAACACTGAATTGGCCGGGCACTGGTGGCTCATGCCTATAATCCTAGTTACTCAGGAGGCAGAGAACAGGAGGATAGAGGTTCAAAACCAGCAGGGACAAACAGTTCTCGAGACCCTATCTTGGAAATACCCATCATGCAAAGGGCTGGCGTAGTGGCTCAAGGTAAAGGCCCTGAGTTCAAGCCCCTGTACTGCAAAAAAATAAATACATAAATAAAACATCAAATTGTATACTTTAGATGAGTGAAGCATAGGATATTTATATCTCAATTAATCTATAAAAATTCAATTCTCTCTAGAAGGTAATATCCTTAATTTCTCAAATAGCTTTTCAATTGGGAGCTATCTGTTGAGATGGTCCAGTTAACTAACTTGGATCAATGGAACTCAGAATGTTTACAGTTGGATGGAATGGGCTGGAGTCTGGAACATTCATGCAACTCAGAAAGGAAAAACCTAGACAGGACACTATAGGCAGTAGAGGGTAGCGCAAAGTGAACATGATTCCAGGGAGGTACTAAGGAAGGCAAAACTCTACCACAGACAAATGTAACAAATTTAGTGATAGAACTATCTGTTCTATTATCAGACCTCTTTGGAATGTCCATCCTCGTCAAATAATTTTCATTAACTTTTAGTTATTGTGGGGAGCTTTCTACTTCTTAGAAGATCTACAGAGAGGAGATCCAAAATGGCAGCTAGGGTAGAGAATCAGAAGTCCTAAGCTCCATGACACCAGAAACCTCCTCAAGATATGGAAGCTACACTTGGGTAATTCTGATTCTTCCTAGCCAAAATAATAACTCTATCACAACAGGTGCAGATAAAATTCAAAGACTGACCCTTAAATCAGCCTTTAACTGCACTTAACAGCCACAAAAATCCAGCTCGGCACAGCCAGCAAGGCATGGCCAGCCTCCGACCCTGGGAAAAAAGCCCCCAGCTGCTTCTCTTTTCAATCTTCTTTTTCTTCTTCTTCTCCCAACAAGCAGAAGACAGAGAATCAATCAGAATCAAATTCTGCAACATTCCTGAACCCCTAACCTCTGGAAATCCTCCCTATGCCATGCCACACTGAAAAAAGCTGCACCATTTCTCACTACCAGCTGGCTCCAAAGTTGCTTGCATGAAACTGCAGAAGAACAGGTGAGTATAACACACCACACATGACTCCCCTACCCACCCCATGGGAAAATAATCCAGCACAGTCCCTGGGCAGACTGAACCTCTACCAGCAAAACTGAAAACTATAAACAGCAAAGTCAAATCTGACACTGACAGCAGAGGTGGGAGAGGAATGCTGAACCTGCCCCTGAGAAAGGGGGTTGGGCAAGGAGCGCTGAACTCTCAGTGATCTAATGCAGCAAAGGCAGGAGCAGGGCAACAAGCCAACCTTCCACAGGAGCTGCTAGCACCTAGCAGAGATTGGGAGAGGCATAAAGACTGAGAGCAGGAGTGAAGTGACAAGCCACCTCCCAAAGGAGCTGCTAGCACCCAGCAGATATCGGGAAAAACAGAAAGGCTGAGAGCAGAGGTGGGCAAGAGGCCAACCTCTCAAAGCAGGGCAGGGAAAAGACCCCAGAGCTGTTCTCTGGGACAGAGTGCAGCATTCAAAACTGAATTGCCCTACCACGCTGGGCAAAGAGCTGTCCAAACAGAGCTGCAGCTGAAGGGCAACACATCTGCTGCGTGGTGAAAACAACAAAAGCTCTGACCATGTTACACAAGCTGGCAATCTTACCTCACCTCACAATTCCAACTAATCTTATGGACAGAAGGACCAAATACCACTCACAAGCCAGTCACGTGGTGAGACCACATCTGAGCTTCTGCTTGTATGCCAATACCAGGATTGGACATGTAAGGAATAACTCCAGAACTTTTACCAAAAGACTGAACTTTCTGTGGTTCCTGAACCTGGTGTTTTTTATTGTTTCTTTTTTTTTCTTTATATTTTTATTATCCATGTATTCTTAACTTCATCATCACTATTCTCTTATCCTTATTCTTACCCTCCTCGCTTTCCCTTCTCCTGTACTACAATCCATTGTTCTCCCTCCCAACTACTCTTTCTGCCCCTTCTCATGCACTATTTCCCACGTTTACCACCCTCTCCTATCCTCACACAACCTACCATCACACTACCCCTCCCTCCTGCACACTCACCACTGACTACCCTACTGTACCAACTGTACACAACCCCAGTCCCCTGCAATCCGCAACACAATCACCTTCCACTACAAAGAATACACCCAAACACACACAAGGACCACATAACCCAGCAACCCCCATGCCACTCCCCCTACTCATCCTCCCCTTTTTCCACTCCCTCCCTTTTTCATACCACTTTTACCAATTCCCCAAAATCTATAACTAAACTAATCAACATCACCCACCCCAATTCCCACTGTTTATAGGTATTATCATCAAGGGGTTTTCTATATAATATGTAAACAACTGGTCTGGCATCAAACCTGTGAATTTGTTAATGCTATATTACACCTCCAGGCCAGGGATAGAAAAAGCACATCACCTAGCTAACAACCAGTTAGTCACAACACAGAAATTAAATCAGGGAAATAAATCAGGCAATCAAAACCACCAACTGGCCTACCAAAAACATAGTTGCACATCACCAAGTACAGTGATGGGAAGAAGGAGGAATGGAAATCACTCTCCTCAAAAAAAAAAAAAATAATAATAATAATAATAATAAAAACAGGATTCAGTGGGAAATGAAGAAAATATATATCCAGTTTATGACCTCCACAAAACAATGATAAATGTCACTAAGGAGCCCAGTGACACCAACATAAAAACCCTCAAAGAAGAAATTTTGGAAGATATTACCAAGATTCAAGATTCTTGAATATCTTTGGAAGATATTCTCCAAGATTCATGGAGAAGATACTAGACATAACCAGAATGTATAAGATGCACTGAAGATATTTCAAGGCACCAAAAATAAAGAACATGACAAGATACAGAAACAAATAAAAGGAACTCAAAGAGGACTTCAACAAACACCAAAGTAAAACAAGGATACTATAAAAAGGGAGATACAGGAATTAAAGGTGACAACAAGAAACATAAAAGAGGAGTTGAAAAAAGATACGAAAAACCTCAGAAAAAGAATCAAACAGAAATCCTGGAAATAAAAGAAACAGTAGAAGGCCATTACAGCAGACTAGAACAAGTAGAAGACAGAATCTCACAGCTAAAAGATAAAAAAGAAATTAAAGAAAAAAACAGAAGAAATCTTAGTCAAACAAGAGCTGTGAAAGGAATATGCAATAACTCAGTGACTCCATCAAAAGACCAAACCTGAGAATCAAAGGGATATGTTAAGATATTCAATAAAATAATAACAGAAACTTCCCCCAATCTTGAGGAAGTTTTGCCCATTCAGTTACAGGAAGCCTCCAGGACACCAAGCAGACTTGGCCAAAATAGAACCTCCCCACAGCATATCATCATCAAACAACAAGCACAGAGAACAGAGAAGGAATATTGAAGACTATAAGATAGAAAAAATAAATAATGTATAAAGGTAAACCCATCAAAATCACAGCAGATTTCTCAACAGAAACTTTAAAAGCAAGAAGGGCATGGAGTGAGGTATTTTGGGCACTGAATGAAAAAAATGTCAGCCCTAAGATACTCTATCCAGCAAAACCATCATTCAAAATTGATGAAGCAATAAAAATCTTCCACAATAAACAGAAACTAAAACAATGTATGACCACCAATTACCGCTACAGAAGATTCTCCAAGGAATTCTGCACACAGAAGATGAAAGCAAACAAAACCATGAGAGGATAGGAAGTAGCAAACCACAGAAGAAGAAAAGAGAAGTAATCACACAGTAGCATTGATTTAATTGCACAGCTTTCTCTAAATTATCACAAGTTTTGACTCATAATGAGTACAACAAATGTTACAGAACCATTAATTTCATCATAGAGCCCAAGGATTTGGATGTTTGCTTACCTCGGACTTTAAAATATTTCACATGGTTTGCCACTACCTCTGTAACACTTTCATTTGGGCAGATTTTTACTCCATTAGGAAACAGAATAGATCGCCGCCTTCGCCTTCTACGTAACCACTGTCTTTCCACTTCTTGGTGGTCCGGAAGTTGTTTCCTTTCAGTAAGTAGAGAAGGGTCTGTATTTTCTCCAGGCAGAAAAGAAACTGCACTCTTGGTTTCTTGGATCTCTTCTAAAGATAAGGTTTGTACTATAGAGTGAAAGCATACCAAAGCTTCTGATGAAGGATGGAGATACAGTACAAAAGGTAACAGAAAAACTGACATTTGTGGCATACTTGGATTCTAAAGTCAATACTCAGATTATAAACAGGCATGCAAATCTAAGGACAGAGAGAAATGAAATATTCAGTATTTTTCCTATTTAATTCCCACTCCTGTAATTCACAAGTATACACCCAATTTCGACACAAGAAATAAGAAGTAATGTTTGAACCAGGAATAATAATGGAAAGGGAAACTCCAAATTACTGGAGATTTTTTTTTTTAATAGTCTATAGCCACCTAAAAAACTAGCTAGCATTTGTTGCCCTTAACGCAGAGAAACTAAAGCAGATACCTTAAAAGCAACTGAGGCCAATAGGAAAAGGGGACCAGGTACTAGAGAAAAGGTTAGATCAAAAAGAATTAACCTAGAAGGTAACACACACTCACAGGAAATCAATGTGAGTCAATGCCCTGTATAGCTATCCTTATCTCAACCAGCAAAAACCCTTGTTCCTTCCTATTATTGCTTATACTCTCTCTTCAACAAAATTAGAGATAAGGGCAAAATAGTTTCTGCTGGGTATTGAGGGGGGGGAGTGGGAGGGGGCGGAGTGGGTGGTAAGGGAGGGGGCGGGGGCAGGGGGGAGAAATGAACCAAGTCTTGTATGCACATATGAATAATAAAAGAAAAATGAAAAAAAAAATAGTCTATAGCAAAGATTAAGAGTTGTATTTACGCAATTTCTTATAGCAATCACATCAAATAACACTACTTTAGGAGACTCTACTAAAGATATTTAGAAAGATGAAAAATAAAGATTTTTAATTACCTGTTGATGATGGAAGGTTTCCTTCTATCAGGACAAATGTCAAAATACCCAGAGAAATCTTCCCCAAAAGAGAAAACATAATCATTTGGGCCAAAACCAAAGAAATGAGAGGGCAAAATCCTTAACTAAGCATCCAAAACCTTGAAATTTCTAGTAACAAATTGTTACAGAAAAAGCCTAATATCTAAACATTTATGTCTGAGAAACTGACAACCACTTCAAAACCATTATAAATTAATGTAAATAAAAATAGAGTCCTTTCAAAGTAGCTCTCACTTCTTTCCTGAAATAATCAGCATGCTCTGAAAGAAGAGCTAAGCTAATTAGAACAGATGGGGAAAGACAGTTTCTTTATTCTAATCTGGCTGGCTAAGCTTTTTACTAACACTCTCCTTGCCGGTAACAAGTAGTAAGTAGTTCACTTACAAATAATATGCCTAATTCACTGGTTTTCCTCCCAAGTTTTCTGAATGTATTAGTCAAATCTGATGGATTCAAATGTTCTCTGGTTTTTCCTAGGACCCAAGATGTATAAGCACAGACTGGCTACACCAATCTACCCGCTTCTGTAACAGAGCTACATACAAAACAAAATTTGCTTTTGAAGTAAAGCCAGTGTCTTCTAAATTTCTTTCCTATATAGAAAAGTCTGAAACTTTCACTGGGTTTATTTTGTCTTATTTCTGTATAAAATGGGGTAGGAATAATGAAGTAAACTCATTTAATCCTCACAGCATTTCTCAGAATAGTGCCTGGCACACATTACGCACTTAATATAACTTATAATGTCAAGATAGTGTTGCTTAATTTCCTGTCGAATGTTAAGCCCAGTGTGTTTACCTACAAGAGGAACTCTTAACCAAGAAAAGATTTCCTCTACCACACTGGGATCAGATAAAACGCTGCGTTAGTACAGTTGTTGTTAATCAAAGCTAGTAGAAAGCAATTAAGGTAGTCAAAATCCCCATGAAATCTAAGGTTTGCTATCAAATAACAATTCATATTTTATTTTACGTATCTCTGGGAAGGTTCTCTGAAAAAAAATGTCTTGTAAAGATGTAAAGATTTTTGTAAATGTCACAATATACCACCAGCACAACGATTTAAAAAGAAAAAATTGTAAAGGACACTTCTCTTGAGAATCCTTAATTGAGTTAGCTAAGTCATGTTCAATGTTATTTTATGCTTTAGGAAAAGCTAGTCAATTATATTGTTTAAGACAGCCTCAAACCATATTTATAGCCCTTATAAAAGCTAACAAAACTAAATGACCATTAAATATATATGCATAGTTGCATTATGCAAAATACTGGTAAACTTCTAAGAAATTTGTCAAGTTTTGTTGTGATTAGGAGAAAAAAGCTGAAAATGTTAAAGCAAAAATTTAAAGTCACAATAAATACAATTCAGAACACAAGAAAACTTTTTAAGTAACAAATACTAGTGGGAAATTACTTTTTGGTGGCCTACTCCAAAAAAATAACAAAACAAAAAAAATTAAGAATCATAGAATCTGGAAACATTTCTGAATTTAGACTGAGAAAATCTAAGCTCAAATCCTTGGCTTTGCCATTTAGTATTTGATTTTGGTAAATTGTTCAAGCTTTTTTAATTTATAAACACAAGAAATTCATTTCTTATAGTTCTGTAGACTGAGAAGTCCAAGATAATAACACGAGCGAATTCAATGTCTAGCTGAGTGCCTGTTCCTATTAGATGGCACCCTCTTGCTGCATCATCAACTAGCAGAAGGGGACAAGGCAGCTCGTGCTCCATGTCTTTCGTAGAAGCACTGATTCCATTCTTGATGCTTTAACTTCTAAAAAGCCTCCACCTCTTTAGTATACGTGTGATTTTGTGGATTGACCCAGGGCCTCGTGCATACTAAGCGCTTGCTCTGCTTCTGAGCTATACCCCCAGCTCAAGACCCCATCTCTTAAGCTCTTTAAACTGTTTTTAACCAAAGAAATTAGGTACCATGATCTTCGCCTATATCATGGGTTATTGGTAAGAATTAAGAAATACGAAAACCTTTTGAACCAATAATATTGTACACTAGTTGTTTACAAGTGTTCGCAAAGCCCAAAGTGTTGTCAACCCTTGTAATTCTTTTATTTATTTTTTTACATTTTTAATCTTATTATTGTTGTACTGGAGATACATTGTGACATTTAACAAAGTTCTTATATCACAGGTGAATTCACCCCTTCCATCATTCTCCTTTATCTTCCCTCCCCCCCATTCCTGGAATAGTTTCAACAAGTCTCATTTTTCCATTTTAATACATGAGTACAAAATATTTCCACGGCATTCATCCTCCTACATCCTTTCCTTATATTGAAAAATATAAGGGAAAAAAATTTCCCTACCCGAACTACATTCCAAATAGAGAATTTAAGAACTTCAAAAGCATTTATTATGTTCCACAAAATATAATTTGTAAAAATTCAGACACCTATACTACTTAAAAACTAGAAGCATGAAAATATCACCTGGGTTTATTTTGTTTCTAAAAAAAAAGACTATCATTTTATAAATTCAATTTAATTTTATGTAATTGTAACTTTAAACTGCAACATTCTTTAAATAACCACATCTATGATATAAGCAGTACAGGTGGTGACTATCGTAATTTTATACCATGAGAATCCAAAAGCAAGATTAATTCAAGTCAGAAAAAGTAGAGAGTTTTGTTTTGTTTTTGAGAAGGTAACATTTTAGCTGGGTCTTGAATGGCTTGGTTGGCATTTCAAGGACATAGGTGGTGTGCTTAGTAGAAAAGATTAGGAGCTAGGAAAGAAATTCTTGGTCATGAACAATAAGGTTGAAAAGTATACTACTCATTCAAAACAAGGTATTTATTGGAGCAAGACAGGCGCATGTGGTAAATAGGTGGAGAATGAAGCTTAAATGGTTAATTGCAGTAAATTATGAAGTATCTTAAAAGTCTTACCAAGAATTTTGGATTTAAACCTATAGATGAAACAGATTATCTCATTAATGTTCAATTACTCAGAAAATGAGTCTTAATACAAGGAGATTCTTTTTAGGAAATATTACAAAATGTCGTATGATGGTCCTTGAGCCTTGTTATGCATCAAGAAATGTCCCCATATCAGAAGCATGTGAAAAAGTGAACATAAAACTCTACCTTTAGAGATAATAAGTACCAGATTGCTTCATCCATACCTAATTCCAAATCAGTTAAGTATCATTTATTGAGTGTTCACTAAATACTACTGACATACTAAATAGAGGAAATGCAAAATGCTTCCAGTGTTTGAGGATATATGCAAATAATACAATAAAAATAATTATAGAAGTATACTCAAATTGTTATGGAGGGGTCAAGAGAGAGAATGAATTATTCTGTGTAATTATTAGTGATTAATTAATTATTGGTGATTAGAGTTAGATTTTTTTAAAAATAAAGTTTATAAGAAAGGATGAAGGCAATACGTGCAAGGCCTGGGTATGAAGATATAACATCACAATACCAACCAGACACAGCCATCTATGGTGGGGATTTAAAGTGACACTAATAGGTCAAAACTCCATAATCTGGCTACTTTTTTACTCTGTAGAAGAATATGTTGTTATCAGGATAATTCCAAACAAAGTATATCTTCATCTGGAGTCTTTATAGTAGAGTGCTGACACTGATTTCTTAGACCCCAAAAAAGGAATACACTCAGTTTTAACAGAACTGGGTGAGTGTAGGCCACAGAAGCAGCAAGTCTCATATACACAGCACTGTGTCTTTTAACAGCCTGTGGCAAAATTTTCAAGTTTCCACAAGAATGAGCTCAGTTACAAGAGACTACAGAAAGAAATTATTCACAGTATGAATGAATTATCCTGTATGACTAAAAAGTAGAGGGCAATGGATAGATGAGGATAGAGACAGGCTGCAACAAGATTAGGATGGGCTCTATATGACACGTCTATAGCTCTTTTTCCTCCTGACATAAAAAATTAAGTTGATTTTGATTTCAAGAGGTTTTAAACTTTTTCTGGCTTTTTAAAACTTAATTTTCTTTAGATGCTTTCCTTCTTTTTTTTTTTTATTGTTGTGCTGGGTGAAGGTACATTGTGGCATTTACAAAAGTTCTTACAATATCAAATATTTCATACTTGAATTCACTTCCTACATTAAAGTCCTATTTAAGTGACTATTACTTTAAAATTCCAAGAGCTTTAAGGTAAAAACAGTATTATTTTCTCTGGCCATTAGCAACTATTTGATTACCTGTCTGTCTCCTCTAACATACATGACCACATAAGCACAGGTGCGCGCACACATACACACAAACACATACACAATCTAGGCTGAGCAACCCCACATTCCCAAAGAAACTCTCATTTGTTCTTACCAGAGAATTTTTAAATTGTTTGCATGTCCATAAATGACTTGGCAATAAGAAGAGTCTATTACTTTCAAAAAATAAAAGTTCTTTTGTGTGTGTGTGTGTGTGTCTAGAAAAATGTTGGCTGCAGTAGATCCAGGCTGAATATCCCTTATTCAAAATGCATGGGACCAGAAGCGCTTCAAATATGGGTATTAGAATATTTGCAGTTACATGAGATATCTTGGAGACAGAACCCAAAACTAAGCATAAAATCCATTTATTTCATATACATCTTGCCCAGAGTTCATGAGGTAATTTTACACAGTTATGTTTGGTTTGCCTGTTTTGACTGTGACCCATCGCATGAGGTCATGTATGGAACTTTCCATATGCAGCATCATGTTGGTGACCAAAACATTTTTGAATTTGGAGCATTTTGGATTTGAGATTTTTTTGGAACTTTGTTTTTTATCTAATTAGGATGCTCAACTTGAACCAAAAGAAATTTCCCCTGAACTGAAACGACATTTGAATTAATCACATGCTTGTTAAGAAAGGAAGGAACATTAATTTCAGTGTCATTCATATGGTATATACAGAGCATCATACAATACGAAATTCATTTTTGACAATGGTTCATGTTTCTTAAGAAAAAAAATTACACTTCAATTTAATGAACTGCAAATATGTTTAATAGAAAATGCTGATATTCTCAAAGCATTATTTCTACATGAATTTAGGAAAATGAATTTTAAACAATCTCCAAAACATGATAAAGGACAGTGGTATCTTTGAAAAGCGTACAAACCAAAAAAGTCAAGAAATCACAAGATGTCTTATATACTTACTTTCCCAAAATTATATGTACAAAACAATTAAAAGTCACCTAAAAAAGTCTCCCCTCAACACACACACATACACACACACAAATAGGGAATGAAATATGCACTTTTAATCATCTTTATATGAAATCTCCAAAGGACAAATATCTTGAAATATCTTGGTGACAAGAATAACAAAAGTTAAAGACACCGAGCCTTAACTGACCTGAATTCACATGATTTTGAAATAAAATATCCAGATTTTTTAAGGTTCATCTTAAATTGCCTTTCTTAACTGTTACACATAATTACAATGGAAATTCAAAACATGTTTGAAAATAGAAAATACAACATGATCATGGTTCCTTCAAAATATTTCTGATAACATTAGAAGGTTCTAAATTGCTTAACCATGTGTAATACAACCATGAACACATGAATTCAGTAGAACTGTTACCTGAATATTTAATAAAATATTAAGTGCCATAGGTTTAAGATCCATAGGGGATCATAAGTCTCTAAAAACTACAATTTAAAAATAGAAAAGTAATGAGAGAAATCTGGTTTTGCAGATGAATACTGGGTAAACTGAGCTATAAAATTATGTATTTGGTTCTAAATAATTAATAAATAGAACTTTGAGGGAATTATTTTTATTATAGCTATGAGTACATCAATTTCATCTTTTTTACTTAAGGAAACTGTGCACATATATTCTGGGATAATGTAGAAGTGAATATTTATATAGATATACCTCAAATAAACTAAGCTTGGCTACATATATGATTTTTTAAAACTTATTGTGGACATCTAAATTTTTTGTTCCAAATTTTAACCTGAACAAATGAACTAAATTCTCAGATCCCCACATATGACATGAAAAGAAATGGAAAAAAATTAGAACAGAGTAATTGCATTCAGCAATTGACAATAATAAGCTGCGCTTTGAGAGAGTACGTTTTCATCATCTTCCTAATATTATGTCTTTTTACGCTATACAGAAGGGATGCCGTAAATGGCATTTTCTGAAGCCTTGATACTAAGTTCTTTTTTTAAAAAAATACACAGTATTCATACTGCATGCTTGAGCTGCAAAGAATAGAATCACAATATGATGTGGCTTGTCACCTAACTTGACAAGTGCTGGGCTGGCACCAGGGAGGACCAACTCCCATCAACGCCCAGTCAGGTGGAAGTACAGATCGTTTAGTCTATTTATTTACAAAAACATTCCCACATTACATATGCTATTGCGTAATCCAAGCATATTTACTCAGAAAAATACCAAATATTTATGAAACTTTAGTATCTATCTAATAAGATAATCGATATAGCCTCCATTCCAACTCCATCTATGACAGCCCAACAATTCTAGTAATATATCTTATATACTTTAAACAACGTTCAATGACTTATAAAACTACTGCAAGTTATTTTCTTCTCTGCGAGCTAGCACAAATGCTGGTAAGCAGCTTTCCAGTAATCTTGAAGACCATATGTGTCATGTTTGTACAGATTAACTAGCTACTGCTGCCCTTCTGCTGCTGCAAATGAAGTTTCAAAATAAGCTCTCGAATATCTTCCCGTTTGGTCTTTATTACATGACGAGGAAACCATTTCTCCAAATGAATTGGAAGTTCAAAGTTAACAATAGGGTCCTAATGAGAAAAAAGAAAGAATGCAACCACTTTTAACAGCATAATTTCGAAATTATTTTAATTTCAGTTTAATGGGAAATGAAAAATTACTAACTTTTAAAAAATAATGGCTTTGCTGAGATAACATCCACATACCACATAACTCATCTAAAGAATACAACTGGCTATTAGCTTATTTAATGTTGTGTAACCATCAACACAATGAGTTTTAGGACATTTTCATTAAACAACTAACTTTTGAACACCAAAATTTTGAACATCAAACTGTTCTACAATACATGCTTAAGTGAGTTATTCAAATACAACTGGCAAAGAATTGGTAAACAGGAGAGTGATAACTAAGAAGTCAGATTGGTTTGAATACAATTTTACACAACATGTTAGTATTTTTAAACAAAGAGAGAGTCTTGGTGATGAACAAAGCATCTGAGATTTTAAAAAATGGAAAAATCTTGTAAAAAGGCCTTCTTTCAATGTAAGAAGCAGCTGATTCAAATACTTCAAGAACAACTACATTTTCCATTACATTAAACTTAATGGGAAAATTGCAAGTTGCAACTGCAAAGACATTTCTCCCTTTGTTTAATTTTTTTAAAAAAACTTTTGAAGAAGGCTACCCTTAGATTATGTTTATAAATTTGATGAAATTATCAGGAGACAGATGTAAGGACTTACATCTTGAAGAAGAAATTAAGAACCCCAGGGTCAAAGGCTCAAAGGATGACTGACTATGACTCTATGAGCAAATTCTAATGGAGATTTACTAGCTAATATTTTATTAGAATTAATGTTCTTTAGAGTCTGGTTGCACATTATCTATAGGCCTTCAGTGGTATTCCCCAAGTCTATTTTTTCAATACAAGCAATAATATTAGTACACAAATTTACAAAACACAAGGTTTAAATTTCTGAAGTTTTTTCTACCAGAGATCTCACATGATGCTTCATAATACATTTAATGTACACGCTATTTATTGAAACTATATGAAGTAGCATTATGTAACAGTCAGAATATATCGGTAATAAGACACACTGAATATTCTACACACAAAATCAAATCTATTTGGAAAAAAGTATTAGAGGGCCAGAATTCTTACCCTATGATGAAGTTTCAATGTGGAATAAAAAAGGGGATAGGGACTCAACATAACAGATATTTACTGGTTTCTATAATCTCTGTCCTATTCCTTTTACTGTATATTATCATTCCTCCCCAATATTAAACACACCAAAAACTTGTAACTATATACTATAAGCCACATGCTTTAAAAACATCTCTAAAAAGCACTTTTAAAAGCATTCTCTATGCAGATTCCTGGTCAAAAACATGTCTTTATAAATGATATTGCTAATGATTGAACTAATAAGATGATACCTATAAAAGCAAACAATGATTTGTTGCCATTTAAAATTTTGGCTTTAATACTGTTGCAGTTCCTATAGAGTCTTCCGTGAGCTAGAAAATATAGCCATCTTTGTCAATGAAATCCCCAAGCTGTGGGGTTCTGATCTTCTTGAATAAAAGGCTCTCTCTCCACTCCTCTGGATCTCCAATTACATGTAAATTAAACCTTCTCACTTTCACACCTTGTCTCTTTACATTCTGTTCTCTTCTTTATATTCCTTTTTTTAATTCCCTGAGCTATCCTTGGATATTTTCTATTGTCTTCTCTTAAAGTTCAAAAATTCTATCTTCTGCTGTGCTACTAAACCCATCAAATAAGGTTTGTTTGCTTGTTTTGAGAGACAGGGTCTTGAGATGTAGTCCAGGCTGGCCTCAAACATAATGGAATCCTCCTGCCTAAGCAGCCTAAGCACAGGGATTATAGATGTGCACCACCATGTCTGTTCCAAATAAGTTATTAATTTCAGATATATCATTACCCATTTTCAGGTCTAGAATGTCCATTTGTTTTTTTTAATTTTTCATCTCTTTATCCACTTTGTTCATTTTTGGCTCTACTTTGTCTAATATAATAATCAAATCATTTCAAAGTTTTTATCTGCTAATTCTAATATCTAGATCATTTATAATTCTATTTTTTTTGACTATCTGTAACATTTTCTTGCCTCTCTGTTTGACCAGAAATTTCTAACTATATGCTAATAATTATAAATAAAAATATATCTTCACATACCTTCAAGAAGCTTTCCACATACTGTAGCAAATATACTCCACAATCACTGCTATTATCCTGTTTAGGAACCTTAGGACATAGGTCTACCATGTTTGTTTTGCTGAATTCACGATGAGTTTTGCGCTTCACTTCCCATTCTACCTCTAAATACCTGAAATCACCAAAGAATGAAGTGACACAAAGGCAGAAAAATATGTGTTGCCAGATCCATTCTCTCAAACTAAATTTCCAGAGGCTAAATTTTAACAATGCAAGTGCCACTCTAAACAAAATAATGTGATTTTCAAACTAAAAGCTAGAATTTTCAACAACTCAACTTTCAAAACTCACACATAAAGTCATCTATATTACAAAGTAAACCAATAGACTGGTTTTAAAAGTTATATTGTGTTTTCAGGTCCTATAGTAAATTTAAAAATCACACACACACACACGCACACACATACACTTCCATACATGTAATAATAGGAATTTGAGAGTGAAGAACATTTGTGTTCTTTTTTTGGGGGGGTGGTACTTTTGACAATCACTTCTATTGGAAATGATCTTTTATAAAACAGCTTTTGTTAAATTATGAATACAAATTCTAAATTACTTTTGATATAATCCTTGAGAAATATTAGTGTTTGAATAGCAACACATAATAGAGGGCATTTGTTATTGATTAGAATTGCAGACTTCATTTAAATATGTATGAAAATATAATTCCTGACATGGTGTTTTCAGTAATTCTTTTTTTCTTTTTTTGAGGGAAGGTTTGCTTTGTAACCCAAGCTAGCCTTGAGCCTTTGATCCTTGCGCCTCAGCCTGAGTGCTAGGAGGACAAGCATGCACTACTGACACCTGGCTTGTTTTCAGTGATTGATAGTTTAGATAAAATCTGAATGATAAAACTACCATTACTATTACTTACTCTCGCAAATTCTGAACTGTGTTTTGTATAGAAGCAGCTTTCAAGGAGTCTAGTATGAGTATACATGGCCTATGAGAAGCAAAGGAAGAAATTAAGATGTTCATACTTGTATGAAGAAGTATACCTAAATACATGAAAAAGACTAGATTATTGTCATTATAGCACATACTTACCTTTTACACATTTTCTTTGGTACTGACATATTCATCTCGGTACTCTGTAATAACATGAATTTTATGACTTTGCAATTAAAGCTAGTTTGAATACATAAACATTCAGTCACTACTTAAAATAATGCAAACTGTGAAATAAGAGTTCTTTTCATCATTTGAGGTGAGTTAACTTCATTTTTCAAAAATTTTGTTATACTGGCAACACAATAGCTTGTATTGGCCTCAAGCAATGGAACTTTACTTCCATTCACTTAGCATCTTAAAAACAAACAAGATCATTCATCCTGTCTTTACATATTCTCTAAGTCAATTTATGATGTCTGTAGAAATGCAATTCTTCTCTTTGAAGGACCAAAAGCAGAGTATTAATCTGCAATAAGAGAAAGGGGATTGGGAACTATAGTTTTGGTTGATATTTCGGTTTTGCTCATAAATGTGAACAATAGAACACTTAAATAGATTAAAACTTAAGCAGATTTCTTTGATGTAGACTGTATTTTTCTAATGCTCATAATCAATCTCTGAGAGAAAGTTGAAGTAAACTAAACAGATATAAGAATAATGTAGCTTCTCCTGTTCCCTTTCCCAAAAAATTTCAAAGAATCATAAAAAAGCAGAACTAAACTATGAATCATTAATATTCATCCCAGTTTTATAGTTTTATACTTAACATTATTAATGAGTTTTCCTTCCTTCACATTTATACAGAATACACTTACTTGGGAATCTTCTGCACTCATGGAGAGTGTTGTAGTATGTAGATCATTATCTAATAAGAAATAATGAAGTGATTGTGTTTATTGTATGTTTAACAATGATAATTTGGATAAACTTAAATAATAATTTGTATGCAAAGTAGGAATTGAAGAAAAAAACCTAGAATCTGTTTTATGTCAGGATTTTGAAACTCTAAAGGATAAAACTGAAAATAAATTGTTTGCTTTCTCAATTTTTCTTTCTCCCCCAAGTTTAGGACAGCATTAATGGGAAAGGCTACTGTAGATTATGCTTGCTCCGAGGGCTACAGCTATAAATCACTTAATTTTGATTTTTTTTCTCAAATTAAAGTAAGCTTCTTTGTTTATTTAAGATTTTGGGTTACACCAGGCATTGTGGCACACTCAGGAGGCTGAGACAGGAGGGTTGCAAGCTCCAGGCCTGGGCAGGACCCTGTGTTAGAAAACAAAAAGCAGCGAGGCACTGGTGGCTCACCAGTACATTATACCATGCCTATAGTCCTAGCTACTTGGGAGGATAAGATCAGGAGGATCATAGTTCAAGGCCACTTGAGCAAATAGTTTGACAGACCCCATCTCCAAAATAACCAAAGCAAAATAGAGGTGTGGCACAAGTTTGCTTTTGCAAGCTTGAAGGTCTGAGTTCAAATTCCAGTCCCACCAAATAAACATTGAGAACTTCCAAACTATGCCTGAAAATCTGTGGCATGAATTCTTAGTTATGTTAGGAAAACTAATTTTTTAATTCTATAATAAAACTTACTACCAACAATATAACTTTAGAATTACATTTTTTTTTTGGCAGTACTAGGGTTTGAACTCAGGATCGTGCACTTGCTAGGTAGGTGCTCTACCATGTGAGCTACACCTCCAGCCCACATTTTACATTATATAAGACTAGGTATCTATCACGAAAATTTTAAACTTTTTATTCTTCCTTCTAATAAGTTTAATAATAGACTACTTTTAACTTCGTATTGTTTCCTGTAACCATTGTATTATCGTCATCTTTATTAAAACAGCATTAACAAAGTCACCTGTTGTTTTGTTGTCATATTGAGATTGCTGTGCCTGGAACTGCTGGGCCACAGTTTGGGGGAAATCCTCATACACAGCTTCTTCTAACCATGGAAAACAAATGACTGCAAGATACCAGTGAGACCTGTTGAAAAAGAACTATAATCTTAATAACATGCAAATCTAAGTAATGTAAAAGAACACATTCAAGAGCTACACTGAGAAAGTGGGTATGATAAACTTTGAAAACATCCACTGTAATATCTGGTATAATTTTGAAAACATCCACTGTAATATCTGGTATAATGCACAGCTCACACTCCAAGGCTAATTAAATAACTGTAATTACCAAGGCCACAGTAAAACTGCTTAGCGTAAAATCTAAGTAATCCAAAGTGAATATATTTCATAAGTCAGTGTTTATGTTGAGAATGTGCTTTAACAGACTCACAGCATCACCATTTTTGTATTAGTACTTAGTTTGCTTAAATATCTGAAGATTTCCCTTAAGTCTTTTAAGTTTTTTCCAGAAAGCTTTTTCTTGGAAAAGAAAAAAAAAAATTCATAGTCTTGTAGCTATTTGTCATTTTATTTTTTTTCCACTGTACTTACAACATAAACAACGTCAAACTAAAATCCAAGATACATAATTGTTTCAGATGATTTTAGAGAAAAAAATTAAAAATAATATCTGGGGTTTATGTAAGCATACTTTTTTTTTACTGTTTATGAGTCTAAAAACACTATTTTTCCTAAAATCTCTTCAATTTGCTGGATTTTTCCTTCTTCTTTTTTTTTGTGGGGGGGAGCAGTATTGGGTTTGAACTCAGGGCCTCACACTTGCTAGGTAGGCCCTTTACCACATGAGGCACTCCACCAACTTCACTTTGTTTTAAAATAATTAGAAGTACTTACGACTCATTTACTGGTACAAAGATGTAATCTTTATTAAAAATGTTTATGTGACGAGTCCATGTTCTTACTCTTCTATGTCTTCTCTGTGCCATTCTGGGAATATGGGAAGATAGATATCTGATTTATAAAAATTAAGATAAGGACTTCAAGAGCCATTTCATACACTGAAAATGCTAGATTTATTTAACCATCTTCTTCAAAATATACAATTTAACACACCAGAAATATATACTTTTATTAACTCTTAATTATTCTTAAATTTGATCAAACAAAAATGAAATGGACAGAATGAAGGCACCAATTTATTCAATGCTTTGTAGATTTCAAAGTGCTTCAGCAGCTGAGTACATACACATTAAAAGCCTATTTGTTCTGCTTAGCAACATTTGGGCATGATATAAAGTATCACAAAACTGAGGCCTTTTGTGTATATTTTGAAATAGGAAACTCATCTCCCTTATTTCATACATAAAGAAACAACAGGACATGGAAAAGTGTACCCATCACTCATCCATTTTCCTTTTATTTCTTCAACAAATATGTAAGAACAAATAATGAAAATAATACATATTCCCTAAAGTAATTTATAAATAAAGGCAACAAAACAACAATAACTAAAATGTAAGTGTCATAAAGAACAGGGAGGAATTATACCAAAATATCTAGAACTACTATTTCAAACAAATAATTTTTTAACCTACGTCAAAGGAATTATAGCAAACCAAGTTTGGAAGTCAAAAAAGGTCTTAGGAAGAAAATAAGCATTTAACAAAAGCATAAAGGAAGTAGCATCTGGCTTCTGGTTCAATGCCTTGGAAGGAACTCTTTATGCAAGGAAGAAAACAAACTGTTAAGTTCTTATAAACTAATATAGGAAACAGGCATCTTTTCTTCATTTTTGCTCATCTGAATATCTATCTAGAACAATATGAGACAAACACTGGAAGTAAGATAAAATCCAAATGAGCCAGAGAAGATGTGATAGGGATTAGATATTGTGTGAAAGATTAATGCCTATATATAAGACGTTTATTGAATTTTCTCATTTTAGAATCACTCCATCATTAAGTATTATAAATAATTATTTCAACTAGTACACAGACTGTCAGGTTATTTTCCATTTGAGAATCTTAAGGATGTATACCTAGTTTTCTTTGTTTTGTTATGTTGGTGTTTAGTAGGCTTCCAGATTATACTAGCCTTGTTGGGAATATATCAGACATAAAGTAAAGTAGGGAAGATAGGACAGAATATGAGGGCCACAACATGATCTCATTTTCTCAGTTTTTGACTAAGTAGAATATCATCAATTAAATATCTAACAGTTCTCTCTGTACTCAGTAACAGGCTTTAATTATCATCTTGTATCTTGAGTTCCTAGTATGTTCCAAATACTGAGTAAGGCACTGGGTATAGAGTAGAAAAAAGCAAGACAAAGTCCCTGATTTCACAGAGCGCTTACAATGAGAAAAGAAAATAAATAAGCAAACAAACAAAACAAAACAAAACAAACATGTTTATTGAGATAATGTTATGAATCAAAATAAGTGTCAGGAAAAGAAATATTGGAAAGAAAATAGGAAAAAGCTGGGCATATTTGAGAACTGAAAGGGGAAGAAGGCTGAACTACAGTATGATAAACAAAAGGAGAGAAATGTTGTTAAGTGAGTTCAGAGAAGAGGTCAAATATTGCAGGACCTCATATGCCACAATAATAAATATGTGTATCACTTACACTAGTAGTGTTTCCTAACACTACTAGTTTGAGCCTTTTGTCATGAATTTTATTTATCTGGATTATCTCTTTTATAGCTGACTTTTAGAGATTCTTTTGTGAATACTAGTGATTGGTTTAAGATATATACATGTGATAATAAGACTAATCACTAGCAGGGGAATTTGTGTGTGTGTATGTGTGCACACACATGCATGTGGGTATATATGTATTAGCTTACCCCTATTACCTTACAGTATGCCACTCATACCTGGTTTTATCACTCTTGTATATGATCAGGAAAAAAATAAGCTAAGTTTTTAAAACCAGAACAATACAACAGAATCTACCTACTTTGATTTCCTTGGTTTGTAAGTGAGTATGACAATTTTATCATACTACTTTGAATACTCTTTTTTTCTTTAATTATTCATATGTGCATACAAGGCTTGGGTCATTTCTCCCCCCTGCCCCCACCCCCTCCCTTACCACCCACTCCACCCCCCCCACCCCCTCAATACCCAGCAGAAACTATTTTTGCCCTTATTTCTAATTTTGTTGTAGAGCGAGTATAAGCAATAATAGGAAGGAACAAGGGTTTCTGCTGGTTGAGATAAGGATAGCTATACAGAGCATTGACTCACATTGATTTCCTGTGCGTGTGTGTTACCTTCTAGGTAATTCTTTTTGATCTCACCTTTTCTCTAGTTCCTGGTCCCCTTTTCCTATTGGCCTCAGTTGCTTTTAAGGTATCTGCTTTAGTTTCTCTGCGTTAAGGGCAACAAATGCTAGCTAATTTTTTAGGTGTCTTATCTATCCTCACCCCTCCCTTGTGTGCTCTCGCTTTTATCATGTGCTCAAAGTCCAATCCCCTTGTTGTGTTTGCCCTTGATCTAATGTCCACATATGAGGAAGAACATATGATATTTGGACTTTTGGGCCAGGCTAACCTCACTCAGAATGATGTTCTCCAATTCCATCCATTTACCAGCAAATGATAACATTTCGTTCTTCTTCATGGCTGCATAAAATTCCATTGTGTATAGAAACCACATTTTCTTGATCCATTCGTCAGTAGTGGGGCATCTTGGCTGTTTCCATAACTTGGCTATTGTGAATAGTGCCGCAATAAACATGGGTGTGCGGGTGCCTCTGGAGTAACCTGTGTCACAGTCTTTTGGGTATATTCCCAAGAGTGGTATTGCTGGATCAAATGGTAGATCAATGTCTAGCTTTTTAAGTAGCCTCCAAATTTTTTTCCAGAGTGGTTGTACTAGTTTACATTCCCACCAACAGTGTAAGAGGGTTCCTTTTTCCCCGCATCCTCGCCAACACCTGTTGTTGGCGGTGTTGCTGATGATGGCTATTCTAACAGGGGTGAGGTCGAATCTTAGTGTGGTTTTAATTTGCATTTCCTTTATTGCTAGAGATGGTGAGCATTTCTTCATGTATTTTTTGGCCATTTGAATTTCTTCTTTTGAGAAAGTTCTGTTTAGTTCACTTGCCCATTTCTTTATTGGTTCATTAGTTTTGGGAGAATTTAGTTTTTTAAGTTCCCTATATATTCTGGTTATCAGTCCTTTGTCTGATGTATAGTTGGCAAATATTTTCTCCCACTCTGTGGGTGCTCTCTTCAGTTTAGAGACCATTTCTTTTGATGAACAGAAGCTTTTTAGTTTTATGAGGTCCCATTTATCTATGCTATCTCTTAGTTGCTGTGCTGCTGGGGTTTCATTGAGAAAGTTCTTATCTATACCTACTAACTCCAGAGTATTTCCTACTCTTTCCTGTATCAACTTTAGAGTTTGTGGTCTGATATTAAAATCCTTGATCCATTTTGAGTTAATCTTGGTATAGGGTGATATACATGGATCTAGTTTCAGTTTTTTGCAGACTGCTAACCAGTTTTCCCAGCAGTTTTTGTTGAAGAGGCTGCTTTGAATACTCTTAAAATATGGTATTAAGTACATGATCTCAGTCATCAACTTCTGTATAAACAAGAGTGACAGGGCAGAATATTAAATATCAAATTTAATAAATCTTCCCTTTTTATGCCCACTTACCCTGGTTATCAGAAATACTTTTAAACTGAAATTTTCTCTTTAATTGATCTTGGGAAGACAAGTCCATCAGTACAAATCTCAAAGTAATGAAGATAAAATAAAGTGGGTGCACAGCCCAGTTTGTCTCAGACAGCATCAACACACACTAGTTACCCAGTGTAACTATTACGGGAACCTCTTACTCTCAAAAGTCTCCCAATTTAGATCATAAGCAACACAATTTACATTACAATCAATAGAAAGAACTGAAATTTGAAATTGGAAGTCTTTAATTTATCTAACTTCTTTGAATTAATAAAGACAATGACACTTATCTTACAAGAATATTATCTAGTTAAATAACTACGCCCACCATCTAACATCTGAGTAGGCATTCAATAAGTATTAATATTCTATCCCTGTCCATCCTCCAATAATATAACAAATCCAAGAAGTCTGTCCATTTAATCATCTTTCTACTTGATTACCATTCTCATGTTTGAATGAAATGAAACAAACCCTCGCAGCCATTTTTAAGGCACTGAAAATGTTGGAACAGAGATGAAAAGATAAGAGTTTGAGAACCATCCAATTCTGCCACTCTCTAGCTGTTTCTCCTTAGTTAAATTACTTAATCTTCATTAGCCTGTTTCCTCATCTGAAAAAAAGGTATATAATTTAGACCCTATGTATCTAAAAACACTGTTATAAGAGGAAATGATGTATATAAAAGTACTTTATAAATTGTGAAGTAATAGATACATTTACATTAACTTTAAAAAATAAAAAAAACTCTTCAGGAGTCCACTTAATAGATTATAATAAAAACTGTTGGGCATGGGGAAACGGGTGAAAACCTCTATGCTGAGTTACTACAATCTGCGTTACTATCTTACTATCGTTTAGGAAATAACTCCATCCTTTTTGCCTAACTCATTACTTTAAAGCTTTTAGTATTAATGAAAAAAATACCTGGACAGAAGTTCAGCTAAACTATGCAAACAAATATGGTATTTCATATAATGTTACATCAACTTAATTAACTAGTGCTATGTCAGCAAAGATCCAACCAGAAAAAAAAAGAAACTCTGTATTTTAATAAAAGGTAAAATGTAATATAGAGGACTGACCACAGAGATGAAAGGAGAAGTACAAACCAAACAAAAAGGGAGTGGGCTAGGAGGGCTGTGAGGCACCCAAAGGATTACTGTAGCAGGAAAGTGGTGAACAAAGGAAGGACAAGAGTAGCAGCAGAAACTCCAGATGGAAGGTGGAAGTCTAGCACATCTGTCCAGTGAGACATGGACCCACAGAGGAAATACAACCTGACAAAATCATGGTCAAAGGAAAACAGGGTAGGGAAGACATAGTCTGGTTTCTTTAATTCCTCGCCCTTCAACTTCTCTTATCCCACGGAACACAAAACTGGAAATGCAGTCCCCAAGAGTCAGTCTCCCTGTCAAAGGGAGCGTAACAGTGACAGGGTAAGAAATGGCTCTCATAGCAAACAGACTAAGTATGCACAAGTAGTAATAATGCCCATTCTGGGAAATGCTATATAGAAGCCACTTCAGTAGCAGCATGAAAATAGTATATTTTCTCTTAAAGCTAAGTATATTAGAGGATTGACTTACGAAAGCGCTGGATTATCTTCTGTTAAATTATTTTCCTTTCTTGTCAAGCATTTATAAAAAAAGCTACTAAAAATGTGACTTCGTTCAACAAGTTCATCTGATGCCTTCTCCAATATAAGATACCTGTAAAGTAGCAGTCCCACAAAAGTGAATTACTTTTAGATTTGAACTGGTTTTTTCCACTCATCTATATGTCCTGGAAATCACTGCATTTTCTCTGATTTTAGCTTTCGTTTGTTTTTCAGTTACCTTCCCTTCCATCAAGATCACTTAAAGGGGAAATTGCCCACTTATTCATTTATTTAATTAACAAACATCTATCAAATTCCCAACACTGTACCAAGCACCATATTTACACTATAGACACAAGAGAGGGAGGAAAATACCTGCCCCATTGAACTCACAATCCAAAGAAGTGAGATAGAAGAAAATATTAAATAATCACATAACAAATGCAAGACTGAAACTATCATACTTCTAAACACATCTAGAAAAACTTTAACAATTAACACATGACTAATCTCTGAATTCTTTTTCCATACTAAAATAATTCTTTAACATAACCTTTTAATTCAATCACCTAGCAATTAAAACCTTCATAATTAGCAAACTTTGCTATTCATAATAATTTACACAGGTTTGTAATTGCTTTTTAAAACTGAGTAGCTAGAGTGCACATCAGATTGCTAGAAGGAAAGAGCTGTATAGAGAGAATGCTACACAAACAGTTACAGAGTCTTCTTCATATATTTAGTACAGTACTGATCACTGTATTTGTGTGAGACAGTACCCAAGCCGGGGAAAGAACTACCCAAAATGATTAGAGGAAATGGGGCTCAGCATTCAAACAGACAAGAAGTGGTGCCTGTTCCTACTAGTCAGGCTGGAAAACCTCCTCATTTGTGAGATATTGGGTATAATACTCAGAATAGACTCCCCTGAGTAATGGGAATTAGTTGTCTCATTTAGCATATCTTAAAAACAAGACATAGGAGCACATAGAACTGTTTCTACATAATTTAACTGTGTCCCTAAACAAAATTCATTTAAAAATTAAAAAATACTTAACACCCAATAAAAAATTATCATATATACAAAGGCAAAAAATACGAATCATAATGAAGAGAAAAATCCATAAAGCCAACCCTAAATTGACATGGTCATCAACTAAGCAGAAAAGGACATTAAGACAGTTATATTTTCATATGTTCAAAAAATTAGAAACATGGAAGACATAAAAAAAGGCCCAAACTAGAGATTTAGAAATCTATGTCTGTAAATATAAATTATAATGTGAGATGCCTTTATGAATGGAATAAAAATGGCATTTTTAGCAAAGAATACAGTTTAGGTAAGATGATAATAAATTTGGTTTGAGAGGATCTATGAAATAAGATCTCTAATTCAAGTGTTGGAAATTTAAGTCTAGGGATACAGTACAACGTGAAGGCTAGACCCAAATTTCTTTTGCCTGAAAGTGAGGTGGTGGGGGGTATTTGTTTCAAGTTCTGGCCTTGAACTTGAGATCTTCTGCCTAAGCCTCCTGAATGCTGAGATTACAGACATGAACCACCATTCTAGGCTGTTGCATGAAAGTTTTCAGAGCTGCCATAGCTATTCCTTCAGCTTTTCATATGCAAATTGAAAAAAAAACTGAATGGAATAGTGATATGGATTTTTAAATGACAGTTAACTTTTTCATAGTGCTTAAAGATACAATGGATCACTAAATAGAGTTGCTTTTTTTCATTTTCCAAAGTGCTTCATAATTGAGTAAATAATCTCTTCATCACAATAATAATGCATGTATCAAAAAACAACATATAAAAACAGAAACAAAAAAGCAGTAACTCTTTTGATATATATAGTTTCTATGAAAAATAAAGGAATGAATTGGTTGACTTTACTAAAAATTTGGTAGGCAAAAACTTTTCCAAATCTGAAATACTGGCAGATTACTTTTAACTAGAGTTAAAATAATTCAGATAAAGACATTTATTTTTAGTTTCACAATAAAGCCTATAAAACAAATGAAAAGATCACTTATCATTATACTTACTTAAGGTAAAAATCAATGATTACATCATTAAGAAACTCTCCTTCTTCTAAACATTCCAGATCTTCATTAGTTACTCCTAACCCTCCCTTAGTGGGTGGTGGAGGATATACAATCAACCTTTGAAAAGTAAAAATAAAGTTAAAATATATTGGCATTGAATTCTTAGTTATCTCAGAGATTTCTTATATGATAAAATAACTTGAGAAGTAGTATTTTATAACCATAGGACAGGACACAAGTCTTTATACTTACCTATATTTTCATAAAGCTACTAATGGTACCCTCACTGAATATTATCTTTTCTTTTCCAATAATTCCCATGTGGGATAGTCTCAATATTATTCTCAATATTTATCTAATGTTAATAGGCTTTATCTCACCATCAGTTACAATGCCATTAAGGACATCTCTCTTTTATCCAATTTTTTGGGGGACAGTCCTGGCCTCATACTTGTTAGGCAGATACTCTTATCACTTGAGTCACTCATCAACCCTTTTTGTGTTGGGTATTTTCGAGATAGGGTCTTGAGAACTATTTGCCTAGGCTGGCTTCAAACCATGATGCTCCTGATCTCTGCTTTCCAAGTAGCTGGTAATACAGGAATGAGCCAAAGGTGCTCTGCTACTCTTCTGCACAATTTTCAATATCTAACAACTTTTGTAATAATACAGATTTTTCTATACTCCACTTTCCAATTCTAAATTTGAACCCCCAAGACCAATTCCTTTCCATTCAGAAAAGCCAGAAATCAAAAACTGTGCTTTCCTTCTGGTGGCTAGCAGGCAGACAATACAGAAATAACAGGGGAGCTTAGAGGGCAAGTTTCCCATAAGAAAGAGTTTACAGTACAAAACATTACAGAAAATAAAGGAAACACATAATTAGATCACATCAGAAAGTGGCAGAGGACAAATGACAACTAGCAGGCATCTTCCTGGCACTACTATGCCTTAAAATTTAGAAACAAGACCAGATGTGAATTCCATGTTATAATCTTGGAACAGTCAGGACAGTATTTGATGGGCAAATGCAGTAATTTAATAAAGGTATAATAAATACTTCTTGTACCAGAAACATTCAAGAACTTAAGAGTTATCTACAATTGATTTAATCTTAGTATACAGCACCTAAATCTAATAAGAAAACTGAAAATTTTAAATAGTAATCTGATAGCCTCTAATTGGCTATTTTCCTATCCTGTGTGTTCAACTGCATTTTTAGAAAAAGGATCACATGAAGGTATAGAAATAATCTCAAATGCTCAGATTTTCCTCTGGCAAATCGCTATGAGAAGATGTATAAATGATAAAATATGAACAAAGAAGCAACTTCTCATAAACTTAAAAGTATCTAAATTGAGGTATACTTTAGTAAGAAATTTCATATATTCAGATATGGAATTTATAATCTTCAAAAACATGCATTTCTGGGCCAGACATGGTGGCTCACATCTGCAATATAGCTCCTTGGGAGGCAGAGATTGGGAGGATTATGGTTTGAGCCAGTTTTAGCCAATCTGTGCAAATAAGTTAAAAAGATCTCATTTCAACAAAAAGGTGGACATGGTGGTGGTATAATCCCAGCTATGCAGGGAGATTAGACAGGAGGATTGTGGTAGGAGGCTTGTGGTCCGAGGCTGGCCCTAGGCAAAAATGTGAGACCCCCATCTGAAAAACAGCTAAAGCAAAAAGGGCTGGTTCAAGTTGTACAGTGCCTATCAAGCAAGTATGAAGCCCTGAGTTCAAATTTCAGTATATAAAAATGTAAATACTTGCTATTCCCATATTTTTAATAAACACCTTAATCTTACCAAGTATGACATTTGGCTGTCTTTTTTGTCTTGCTGACATAAAACTAAATGAAATAGCATATATTATTTTCTTAGTAAGTTTAAATTGCTCATAAATTTTAAAAATATATATATTTCCTTGGGTGGGGATTTAGCTCAATGGAAGAGCACTTGCCTGAGGCCCTAAGTTTGATACCCAGCACCAGAAAAAAAAATTATTTCTATTATTAATCCTCAGCATGAATGTAAAACTCAAAACATTTTAAAAAGTAAACTACTTAAAAGCAGTAGCATGAATGGAAACTACCACAGTCCTCTATTCAAACAGAATGACACAGTACATACTTCTGAACAGGTCCGGTGTGCCTGACTTCTCGCCATTCTTCATCTGGATTTGATGTAATAGAAAGTGAGTAGCAACCACTACTTTGCTTCTGCAGAAAAGTATAAGTAGGCTTGACTGCATCTGTATTTGAGGGCTGAAAGAACAGGAAAAGAACACTTTTCTTATACATACATAAATACAAACACATTAATTTTGAAAAGGACAAAGGTAAAATATAGATTTATAACTAAAAGAATTTTTATCAATCAGTTATATCTACATTTTTAAACTTTTTAAATATACAGTCAATAAAAATACTTGTGATCAAAAGATACTGTACACAATACAATGGTCAAAGTTTAAGTACTATTTCTAAATATGAGCTTTCTAATGAAAAATTTTAAGAATTCTGCAGTTCAAAATAATCAAAATGGGTGGTAATAGGAAAAAATAAGATTAAGAGAGGATGAGTTTATCACAAATTGATATTCTATTATAAGTGGAAAAGTAAAATACAAATGTATATATACAGTATAGTTAACAAGCAAAAATTTTTTACATTGTACATAAAAATACTGGTGAAGTCTAATGCCTCTTGTTACACTAGTGTGACTCTCTATAGGTCTTTTGCATAAAAAGGTCCTCAGACCATATCCATGTACTTGTTTATGTGAGTGCTAACATGTATGTGTACAGGATAGCTACACATTATGTCTATATGTCTAATCACTACTGCTGTTAACTTTGCTCACTTAAAGTGTTGTCTCCCAGGTTTCTCCACTGCAAAGTTACCATTTTTCTTTTCTTTAATTAATAAATATTTTGGGCAAATGACTTGAATCTATGCACATATCCTACTTCTCCTTAAAGTTTCACCTATTAAATTTAGCCTCCACCTATGAACCTTGCCCGCAATAATCATAAATATAATATTTTAGTGGTAGTTTTATATTTCTCTTACTAGTTTTATATTTACTGACTGTATTCTTTTCTAAGAAAGAATTGTCCCTACCTGCCACTTATTTATTCATTTATTAACTGTTACCGATTTATATTAGCATATATTTATGCTATTCTTTGGTTACAATCCCATACTATTGTATTGATTTGTTGATCAAACTTTCCAGCTTTGGAAGTGGGAGTTCTTTCAAGTTGGTTTCTGTATCCTTTTGACAAAACACAGAATTTTGAAATTGGCTTAATATCGGTGAAAGAATTCTTACCTCTCTACCCCCTACCCATTATCATATGCTAACCTGAGAGACTGATTTCAACTTCATTTCCTCAGCAGCAGCAACAGGGGATGAACAAGTCGAAGCACAGTAATAATGAATAAAAGAACTCTCTTTTGAAGAAAGGTTCTGAAACAAAGGAAATGCCTGGACCCAAGACAATGGATAAGAAAGTTCTAAATCTCCATTGGTTGCACTTATTTCCATCATAATATCTTTCAATTTCAATTCTTCTCTTTGTGAAATAGGACTGTTTAGCTCAAGGAAAATGAACTCGCTGGATTTTGCTATAAAAGAAAAAAAATCAATTTTTATCACTAGTATTTTTCAAGGGGATTATAATTAAGATAATTTAATTACGAATAACACAAAAGTTAATATAAAACCCAACAAAGTATTTTGTATGTGAAGTGATATCCCAGGCAAATTAAAATCCCAAAATTGGCTATTAGTAATCTAGAACCAAAACTCACAATATTTAAACTTCTATTCTACTTCACGAGAATAGTAATTCAGCAGTGGTATTTACTGCTGTATTTCCCATGCCTGGCATTTAATAAGTGCTAGTAAATATTTAATAATGAATGTATAAAAGAATGAATGACAATTAAGCAATTATGTTTCTCTAGCCTCCTCCACAATCAATCTGTCAGCTAAGAAAGTGTTCCAATTAAACAACTGCTTCATTTTCTTTTATAGACCATTTCAACAGTGGTCTCAGGTGACACTTTTCTCCTGAAATGACTATAAATGGTTCTTTGTATTTCCCCCAACTTCTTATTTAATCATGAATTTTCCCACTGGAAGTAATAAAGATTAGAAAATGACTGAATTTTAAAGGTGTAAATTTTAGCTTACTACTTAACATCTATAATGTGCAAGAAAGTAGGGAGAAGAAAGTAAAGAGAGCAAAAGAACAAACCAATCCCATTTTCAACTCCACAAGAAGATGAAGACTAAACAAATATGCATCTCAAGATGCATATATGTTGGTAAGTGATATGGACACATTCAGAAAAGCATGCAATTTAGTGTTAGAAATGTAATACACGAGTAAACTGAAATTTGTTTTTCAAAAACTAAAAACAGTTGAATATAAAGATAACTATATTTTATTTAAACTTGCCACTCACTAATTAGCTCTATCACAATGCATTAGAAATAGTGGCAAAAAAAAGAAAGAAAACATAAAAAAGGCAGCTGAAAGCGGTAGAGCACCTGCCTAATGAGTGTGAGGCCCTGAGTTCAAACCCAGTACCTCAAAAAAAAAAAAAACAAAAAAAGAACTTTTCTTTTCACTGGCAGAGTGGCTCAAGCAGTAAGACCACCTGCCTACCAAACATGAGGCCCTGAGTTCAAACCCAGTGCCATCAAAAAAAGAAAAAAAAAAAGGAGCCAAATGACTGAAAAGATATTTCTTTTTTTAAGAGTACAGGAACTTTTTATTTTCAAGGTAAACAACATTTAAATTTTTTAACGTATTCTTTTCATTTTAGCATATAATTTCATTTGGTTAAATAAAATTACCAGGAGAAAACATATGAATAAATAAAATAATTTATCTTATGCAATATTACAGAATAAAATTATCTTTAATCCAATGAAATTAATAACAATTCAATGAAATGAATTTCAATATTTCACTTCAATGAAATAATTATATTCTATTAAATTATTTTAGGAGAAAATTACAGTATTTATAGGATTTTTTAGGTTATTCTGAAATTCAGAAATTTTTTTATACTTACATGGCTGGCTTAATATAGAGTTTTCTAACTGGGTCTGAATCTCCTGAAGATAATTTGAAGAAACCCAGAGGAAAAGGATAGCATGACACCTTTTACTATGATCCTCATCTTTACTTTTCCATAACCCAAACCTCTTTAAATGTCTAGTGTCCACTAGCAATGAAACCTCATTCAGGGACGCTGAAATGAAAGATAAAAAATTAATAATTAATCTATTTAGGACTGTAGCATTTACGTATATACAACACATAATAGATTATATTTTTATAAAAGACTATATGCAAAGTTTTTTAGAAATACATTGCCAGTACCCTTCATTAAACTTAGCTGATATATCCCAAGCAGTATTATTAGAGTAAAAATATCACATTACAAATTAGGAAGGGATACATAATTATTAAGTGATAGTAAGACAGAACGATTTAGTTTCTCATACTATATGATTTCAATTATATCCACAGAAGGGAAATTTGAGGCTAAATTCACACAGCATAAAAACATTATGCATTGAAATTTCAAACTAAGAATTCTAATACCATTTGCAAAAAAGGAAAAAAAGACTATCACTAAAGAAAACTAAGGTTAGCCTAACTTAAAATTCTTTGACCAGCAGTTTTAATACTTTTTTTAAATGCTAGCAATCAAAACCAGCTAGACAAGCAATCTACCACTGAGCTACATACCCAGCCCTCAAAACTATTTGAAACCAAGACTTCAAATGATATCCTTGACCAACTTCTGCCCATATTCCTTCTCCTATAATATCTTCATTTCACTACATAGACAATTCACTATCAAAAGATTCTATGAATAATAGGATTGGTTCTAAGTGGTCTAAAATATTTCTTTCAAAAGTTATTCCACTTTTATTTTTCAAAACTTCTGAGTAATCACTCTAATTTCTCACCCTCTTGGTGAGCTAATGAAATCTCCTCTGAAGATTTTCTTTTAATGCAAATAACCACAGAAACTGGTTTAAAAGAAGTCCTGAAAGACATTCAGTTCAACTGTAAGAAAGCAAGCAGCTCAACCAGGAAAACAACTGCCAATTAAGTATAAAACCAAGATGAGTACCTATCCAAAATAGTACTCCTTATTGATACTCCTCCTCCCTGCTTTATCTCCTGGCACCTTGCTACACTCAATGTGTAGTTCTCAGCCAGTAACACAGGGATCACCTGGGAGGTTGTTAGAAATGCAGAGTATCAGGAACTCATAGATCTCAGTATAATAGCCCCTGCAAGGTGATTCATTATGAACATTAAAATATAAAAATGGTTGTATAGTAAGTGTTCAAATACTTGATTAATCAGTCACTTTGATGCTCCCAAGTCTACCATTTTATTCTTCATATTGTAGCTCACCCATTCTGACAGTAAAACTGATAGCAAAAACAGATTAAATTAAAACAAGGGTGAGAACCCTCTACAAAAAGCAGTTCATCATTTCTTCCTTGTGCTGCTCACAACCCAAACCCACTTTTCCATCCTTCTTCCTTAGTAACAAAACCCTAATTTTATTCAAGGAAGCAAGATACCCAGCTTTGAAAAAACTCTATTTCCTAGCTTTCATTGCAAACAGGTGTGTGAGCATATGACTAAGTTAGTTAATAAAGTGTAAGTTCAAGGGTTAGTGGCCTGTGTACCTAAGAAGGCTTTTTAAAAGGGCAAGAGATAGGTAACTCTTGCTATGCTCTTTCAACCACTTCTCCCTCTCTCCTGCTCTCTGCCTGAAACACTAACATGATGATGGATATGAACAGCTTTACTGATCATAAGACAGTTTTAAAAAATCAAAGTCATATGTCAAGGATGACAAAGTAGAAAACTAAAAGAATCTGAACCTCCAATGACCAAGGAAACTTATCAGCTCAGCCTACCTCTGAATTTCTTCTATGTGAAGGAAAAATATTTTCTTTAAGTCACGTTACAAATAGCCAAACATAATTTAATGGCAAATATAATTAAAGATGAGTAAATTAATTCCCTCAGCCATATGGAAAAAGAATAAATATTTACACCTGTAGGTTCAAATCTACAAAAAAAAAAAAAGACCTTTATATGAATGGCTTTTTTTTTCATGCCTTGTTTTAAAAAGGGGGGTATATATGGAAAATAGTACAGACAACCTCTGAGGAAGAAGACTAATGACTTCCTCTTCCATTATAAAACTTCAAGTCTTATTATCATCGAAAACAGTATTTTTCCACATTTTAAAATTAAAACTATCTTAAAAAAACAGGATTAAAAAATTATAAAATAAGAAAACAAAATTTAAAACAAAGTATAAATAAAAACTGTGAAAACCTAAAACATCATTTTTGATATCTGTATCATAAGAATGTGAAAAGTAACTCTCTTTGTTACCCAAACCTTTAATTATAGATTGTCATACTCTCTCCTCTGAAACTATCACTTTCCTTTAAAGTCACAATTGAGATTGTAAAAGGGGGACTATTTGGGGAAGCAAATGTAAGGGTGGGAAGGGAAAAGAGAGGGAGGTGGGGCGTAAATATAACTGAAGTACATTATATGAAAATAGCATAATGAAACCCCACTAAATGATTTAAAAGGACAGAGAAGGGACAAAGGTTAAGAAAGCAAAACATGGACAGGATGAATTTGATCAAAGTACATTATATGCATGTTTATAAATATCTCAGTAAAACTGTTTTGTACAATTAATGTATACTAATAAAATAAAGTCCAATTAAAGTTGGAAGAATCCAATTAAATTTACTTAAATCACACCTGTGATCTTGGAACAGAAGCTTATTTTTCCCTATTTTATACCTAAAGTGCTACTTGTATATAAATATTTCTTCATTATTTTTATAATTATTCTCTAAATGGATTATTCTCTATTGTTTTAATTTTTCCATTATTTATTCTGAAAAGTTTTTAGTGGAGGAAAGAATGAAAAAATGGTCTGAATCTCTGTAAGTTGCAGATACATTTCCCACTCTATTTTGCTTTATTCAGAAAAAGCAGTACTCACACTAACTGCATGGTACTGGCATAAAACCCAGCAATGGGAGCAAACAGAGGATCCAGATAAGCCCACACAGCTACAGCCATTTGATTCCTGACTAAGGCACCAAAATCATACATTGAAGAAAAGACAGCCTGTTCAACAAATGGTATGGGGAAAATTGAATATTCACATGCATAAGACTGAAACTGGACTCCTGTCTCTCATCACGTACAAATAGCAACTCAAAATGGGTCAAATATCTTACTGAATCACCTGCAAACAGAAGCTGCTATAGGGAAAACATGTAAAGATAAAGGTACAGGCAGCCACTTTCTGAACAGGACTCCAATAGTTCAGGAAATAAGAGCAAGAACTGACAAGCAAGACTGAATTCAATAAAAAATCTTCTGCAAAACAAAGAAAATAATTATCAAAGTAAAAAACAATTATTTCCCAAAGAATAGGAGAAAATCTTTGCAAGCTATCATATGACAAGGGATTAATATCCAGAATTTATAAAGACCTAAACATCAAAAGAGCAAATAATCCGATTAATAAATGAACAATTTTCTAAAGAAGTAACCATGGCTAAGAAACACATGAGTTGTTGGCAGTGATCTCAGCTTCTGCCAACAGGAAGCATCTGGGAGCTGGCCATGGCAGGAAGCAGCCCTATGCAGACCTGCACAACATTGGGAGAAGGACTCCAAAACCCTCGCCCCTGCCCCATCCAGTGTCTATGTCGCTGGAGGTTCTGGGCTATCCAAGTTAGGTGACCAGAATTAGTAATATACTTTTAAATGTGGGAATATTGAATGACACTTTCAAGACAATGACCATTATCAAAACAAAATGTATAATTTCTTAATTTGAATAACAAATTAAGTGTTTAAATGCCAAATGCTAAAAAAGAAACACATGAAGTGTTCAACATCCTTAACCATAAAGAAAATACAAATTAAAACAATAATGAGATTCTATCTAACCCCAGTTAGAATGACTAAAATCAAGAAAACAAACAACAAAAACTGATGAGGATACAGGAGGAAAAAGGAACTTTCATACACTGCTAGTGGAAAGGTCAATTAGTACAACTACTATAGCAATCAGTATGTAGGTTCCTCAAAAAACTAAAAACAAAACTATGACATGATCCTGCTATACCACTGTTGGGCATATACCTGGGGATATACTTAAAGCAATGTAAGTTAACACACAATAAAGATACCTGCACACCCATATTTATAATAGAACTATTCATAATAGCCAGGTTATGAAACGAGCCTAGGTGCCCATCAACCAATAAAAAAGAATGAATAAAATGTAGCATATATACACAATGGAGTATTATTCAGACAAAAAAACCCTGAATCATGTCATCTGCAGGAAAATGGATGAAACTAGAGATCATCATGTTAGGCAAAATAAGCCAAACTCAGAAAGAAAAATATCACATTTTCTCTCATATACAAAATCTAGATCTAAAAAAAGAGGACATTAACATAAATAGGAGACTGTTTGTGGTAGGAAACTTGCAGGAGATGGGAGAGAGAATGATACAAAAGAGAATACGTATATACGCATGAAAAGGTCATAATGAAACCCATCTAAAATTTTTCCAAGAAAGTTTAAAACTGAGAGAGGAAAGATAAGAAAGAGTAACAAAAGGGATAAATATGAGCAAAGTACATTATATGCATGAAAATAAACATCAAAGAGATCCAAGATGGTGGATAGGGTAGGGAATCAGAGCTTCTAAGCTCCATGACTCCAGAGACCACCTTGAGACATCGGAGCTATACTTGAGTAATTTTGATTGCTTCTAGACAAAGAAATAACCCAACAACACATTAAGTGTACATAAAATTCAAGGACTGACCCTTAAAACAGTTTTAATTGCACCTAACAGCCAGGAAAATCCAGCACAGCACAGCACAGCACAGCCAGCAAGGGAAAAAAAAGCTGTTTCTTTTTCTTTTTTTTTTCCTCTCAACAATCAGAAGACAGAGCATCAATGAGAACCAAACTCTGCAACATCTGGACCCCTAACCCAAGGAAAGCGTCCCTATGCCACGCTGCGCCACAATGAGAGAAGCGATGCCATTTCTCCCCACTAGCTGGCTCCAAAACTGCTTGCATGAATCTGCAGAATGAATAAGTGAACATCAAGCACCACGTGTGACACTCCTACCCAACCCCTGAGAAACATAATCCAGCAAAGCCCCTGGGCAGATTGAATCCCCACCCCCAACAAAATTGAAAAGCATAAACAGCCAACTGTAACCTAACACCAACAGCAGAGGTGGGGGTGGAAGTCTGAACCTGCCCCAGAGAAGAGGGGTGGGGCAAGGAGTTGAATTCTCAGTGCCAAACTCTCAGTGAATGAACAGAGGATAAGCAATAAAGGCTGAGAACAGAGGTGAGGCAACAAGCCAACCTCCAAAAGGAACCCAACTAGCACCCAACAGAGGTTGGGAGAGGCATACAAAGGCTGAGAGCAGGGGTGGGGCAACAAGCCAATGTCCCAAAGCAGGGCAGGTGGTAGATCCCAGAGCTGGTCTCATGAACAGAGGGCAGTACTCAAACTGAATTGTTCCAACTTGCTGGGGGAGGAGCTCAACAAACAGAGTTGCACCTGTAGGGCAATGCAGCTGCCACCTGGTAGAAACAACAATAACAGTTCTGACCACACTGCACAAACTGGCAGAAGGTTACCTCAGCTCCTAACTGCAATTTGCCCTGTGGACAGAAGAAATCAAATACTACTCACAAGCCAGTCACCTGGTAACACCACATCAGAGCTCCTGCTTGTATGCCACTATCAGGACTGGATGCTAAAGGAATAACTCCAGAACTTTTATCAAAAGAGTGAACTTTTAGTTGCTGCAGTATCTGCTGGGTTTTTTTTTGTATTATTTTTACCATCACTATTTTCTTATCCCTATTCTCACCCCCTTGATTTTTCCTCCTTTTCCTGTGCTATAATCCATTGCTCTCCCTCCCAACTATTCTTTCTGCCCCTTCTCATCCACTCTCTCCCCCGTCTTCACCTCCTACCCCTGTAACCACAATACCCCTCCCCCTACACACACAGCCTGCTGATTAGCCTATTGTACCAACTGTACACAACCCCAGCCCCTTGCAATCCTTGACACAAGCACCTTCCACAACAGAAAAACACCCAAACACACACAAGTGTCACAAAACCCAGCAGCCCCTATACCTCCTCTCCTTACCACTGTCCCTTTTCTACCCCCCCCATTTAGTGCACCTTTACCAATTACCTAAGTCTTTACCAATTACCTAAGTCTCTATATTTAGCCTAATAACCATAACTCCCCCAACTCCCACTGTTTACAGAAATTACCACCAAGGGGTTTTCTACATAATAATGTAAACAACTGGCCTGGCATTGAACTTGTAAACTTGTAATTCCTAAATTATACCTCCAGGCAAAGAAGAGAAAAAGCAGACCAACCTAGCTAACAACCAAGTCAGTTACAATGCAAAAATTAAATCAAGGGAAAGAAAACAGGCAATTAAAACCACCAACTAGCCTACCAAAACATAGTTGCACAGCACCAAGTAGAGCATTGGGAAGAAAATGATGGGATGGAAACCACACTTCTCAAAAATAAATAAATAAATAATAATAGAGGATTCAGTGGGAAATGAAGAAAATGGGATACCCAGTTCCTGACCTCAACAAAACAATGACAAATGTCACTAAGGAGCCCAGTGACATCTACAAAAAATTCCCTCAAAGAGGAAAACTTGGAAGAAATCACAGAGAAACTCATGGAGAAGATACGAGACATGGTTAACCAGAATGTACAAGATGTACTCAAGAAATTTCAAGACACCAAAGATAAAGAATATGAGAAGAAAAAGAAAGAAATAAAGGAACACAGAGAGGACCTCAACAAACACCAAAGTGAAACAAAGAACAATATAAGAAAAAAGAGAAAGAGAGAGAGATGGATAAAAGAAAAGTTGAACAAAGATATGCAAAAACCTCAGAAAAAAAGAATCAAACAGAAATCCTGGAAATAAAAAGTCCTTTTAGTCAAACAAAAAACACAGTGGAAGTCTACTCCAGCATACTAGAACAAGTGGAAGACAGAATCTCAGAGCTCAAAGATAAAACAGAAATTAAAGAAAAAAACAGAAGAAATCTTAGTAAAACAACCCAAGGGCTGTGAAAGGAATATGCAACTCAGCGACTCCATCAAAAGACCAAATCTGAGAATCATGGGCATTGAAGAAGGAGAAGAGGTGCAAGCCAAAGGGATACGTAACATATTCAATAAAATAATAACAGAAAATTTCCCAAATCTTGAGAAAATTTTGCCCATTCATATACAGAAAGCCTTGAGGACACCAAACAGAATTGAGCAAAACAGAATTTCCCCACAATATATTATCATTAAAACAACAAGCACAGAGAACAGAGAAAGAATATTGAAGGCTGTAAGATTGAAAAACAAATAATGTATAAAGGTAAACCAATCAAAATAATAGCAGATTTCTCAATAGAAACCTTAAAAGCAAGAAGGGCATGGAGTGAGGTGGTGGGCACTGAATGAAAACAATTTCAGCACTAGGATAGTCTACCCAGAAAAACTATCATTCAAAATTGATGTCAATACTGAGCAAAAACAGCAATGATGGAGGTATCACAATACCCAACTTCAACTATACTGCAGAGCCATAGCAACAAAATAGCTTGGGACTGGCACAAAAACAATACGAAGACCAATGGAACAGAATACAGGACAATGATGGGTGTAACAATGGAATTTTACTCAGCAACAAAGAAGAATGAAATTTTGTTATTCACAAGTAAATCGATGGAACTGGAGACCATCATCTTAAGCAAAGTTAGTCAGGCTTAGCAGGCCAAAAATCACATTTTCCTCATATGTGGATTACAGACCTGAAACAAATGCAGTAATATTATTGGACATGGGTCACACACTAAGGGGAGAACACACATGGGAGGAATAGAGAAAGGGAAGGAAACCTAAAGCTTGAATGTGGTTGATGTGCTCACTGTATAGGAACAAATATAGTAATCTTAAAGTGGCAAAGGCTACTCTGGGAAAGAGACCAGGAAGTAGTGAAGAGGTCTGGTAGAGATGAACCAGTGTGGGTTGTAATACACATGTGCATACAAGCAACGCTAGGAATCTCTCTGTATAGCTATTTTTATCTCAAACCAGCAAAAACACTGTTTCTCTTACTATCTCTTATGTCTTCTCTTCAACAAAACTGGAAAACAAAAGAGCGGAACAGGTTCTGCATGGAAGCAAGGGTGGGGGTGGCAGGGAATGGCCCAAATAATGTATATGCATATAAGTAAATGTAAAAATTATAAAATAAAATAAATTTTAAAATAAAGTATCAAAATGAAATCCCTCACTTCACACAATTAATATATACTTACGAAAATAATTTCAAAAGGCATGATATAAAAAACCTTTTAGCCTCTATACAAAAGTATCTGTTTCTGTACTTATTTCCTTACAGTACCTATTTTTGCCCACTTTTATATACATATACCAAAATATACTTGCTTTCAAAACTTAATTTCTGTGGTGGGTGGGCAAGGAGGTGGCCCAAATAATGTATACACATGTAAATACATGTAAAAACAATAAAATGAAATTTCCAAAAAAAAAAAACTTTTTATCTCTTGGACAGTTTGTAGAATTGTCCAGAGTAGCAAATTACCTCCAAGGAGTTATCATCAGTCAGTAAAAGTAATGACGGATGGAGGACAATTGTGTTTGCATAAATCTGTGTTTGCAAACTTCTAGTGGTGCTACAGCCTAATTTTATTTCTTGTCTATGTTATCAGTGTCAAAAGAATATACTTACACAAGTATTATAATGAAACCCTTGTATAAATAATTTATGCTAATGAAATTTTAAAAAGAGGGAAAAAAGTTTACCTTTCATAATTCCAAGAGTAATTTAATATTATTTGATTTATAGTCATTAAAACAATACCTGATATAACCCCTTCTTTGAACAATGAATATACACTTAAAAAAATGAAGGACAGGAATTTAAAATAGGTCCTGCTAGGGGTGGGAACAGTAAAAGGGAGAAGGTGAATGTAGAGGTTGAAGGAAGGTGAATATGGTTGATGTAATTTATACACTTGTATGAAAATGCATAGTGAAATTGTTTTAAGTATGAGGGGGGATGAGGGCCAATGATGCTGGTTGTTAATCTAACCAACACACATTGTAATCATATATGGAAATGTCACAATGAAGCACTCTTGTACAACTAACACACACTAATAAAAATATTCAATTAACAAAATGATATACTATTTTCAGTACTATAAAACATTTTTAACTCTTTTGGAGCTGCTAAAGTGTTAAGGTGAAATATAATTAAACTGCCTTTATTTTATTTACCTGCTACACTAAAAAATCACGGAAAGTTTGTAAGAGGATTTCAGAATTTTTCTAACCAATTACTTTATACTCAAAATTATAGTGAAGAGGAAAGGTGATAAAGGAATGACAGCTTACCTTGAAATGGAATTTTAACATACTTTGTTGTGAACTAAAGAAAAAATAAAACAAAAAGAGTTACTACTCAAAAAATTTCTAATTTTTTTTCTTATTCATCCTACAAGTACACACTCAAAGTGTACACTACAAGTGCTCAAGCTCTTCTATCAATAAGCCAAGGAAATGTTTTGTTATAAAGATTTAGGTTTAGGGATGTTTAAGAACCCTGTGAAAGTAATTCTCAACATACTTATTTATAAAAACCAGCAAGACTCTACTTAACATATTTTTCAAAAACATAGTCTGAAATTTTGAGGAAGTAAAACAAAGTCCAGCAGAAACTGCCGAGAGACAAACAAAACACAACAAAACAAAACAAAACAAAACAAAAACCCTAATTAAAAAGCTGATGCTCTTTCTCTTATGGATGAACTTATACCCAAACTCACAAACTCACAAGAGACAACTGAGCAAATCAAAGTGCCAATGTACTGTATTATTTATAATGAGACATTAAAACTGTTTTCTCTTTTTCTCCTCCTCTTCCTCCCCCTCTTTTTCTCCTCCCCGCCTCTTCCTCTGCCTTGTATCCCACCCACTGTGAACATTCTGTTTCTGTAGAAAAACTACCAATATTAAAAAAAAAAAAATCAGTTCAATGAGTATTCTGGACTCTTAAAAACTGCTTTTACTGTGTGAAAACTGAACTAAAAACAAATTAGTTGTTTAATATATTAGAATGGCTACAAAAATTTAGTAAGTCCAACTTCAGAACAGAATGCACTTGTCAAAATGAAAGCATAAATGAAGTCCCCAAGACAGAATACCTTCTCCCCTGGATGACTTTTGGACTGAAACTACCAGCTCTTTTATCACTAGCATTCTTCTTTGTTTCATGTTTTGAATTCCCTTCTGACTGAGGTTCTTTCTCTTTCTGTTCCTTCTGTCCCAAGAAACTTATTTTCTCTGTGTACCTTTTGCGTATATCTGATCATTTTATGTATTACTTTTTATAATAAATTCTCAAGGCTAAATCTTGTAATTATCATCTAAAGCAGGCTTGTGTTTTAAGGTTTATTTTTCCATTACTACCAAATGAATGTGCCTATGACTTATTCTTCAATTAAATGTCTCTTGTGCTCATTTATGAAACTTTCATCATGTAAGAGGTAGTCTGTGAGCATAAGATAAAATTGAAATGGTCTTGATATATGTTTTCTATATAAGTAGTAAGCAGCATTCACTTAACACTAGCCAAGTGACAGTGGCTCATGCCTGTAAATCTAGATACTTGGGAGGCTGAGATTGGGAGGATCACAGTTCCAAGCCAGCCTGGGCAAAAAGTTTGCAAGATCCACTCAACAAAAAAAAGCTGGGCATGGTAGTGTACATTTGTCATCCCAGTGACAGTGGGAAGTTTAAAATAGCAGGATCGTGGTTTAGGCTGGTCTGGGAAAAAGCGAGACTCTATCTCCAAAATAACAAGAGCAAAAATGACTGGAGAGGTAGATCAAGTGGTAGACCACCTGTCTAGCAAGCACAAAGCAATGAGTTAAAATCCCAGTACCGATACATAGATAGATGATAGACAGACAGACAGACAGACATAAGAGATATCTCATATTCCATATGATAAGTTGAGTACTGAAGCAAAATGTGAGACAACAGGGCATACTAGCTAAAAGTTTAGTTTGGAATTCAAATCCTGCCTCTTTTGTCTCTACCACTAACACAAAGGAGGAGGTAAACAGGTAACTTATTGAACCTCTCTCAGCTTTAGAAAGACCCCTAATCAAGGGGAGTTTTTACCATTAAACAGAAGCACCTGATTAAGAATATTACCTAATTTAATATAATAAAAATGCCTCTTATTCTATTACTTTCATATAGCTGCTACACATAGTTATTGTCTACCTTTCCTTTCTAAATTCTTCTGGCATGTTTCACTGGTCATTTAATCTCATAAAACATATCTTTGTAAATGTCAACAACTAGTTCTAAAAAATGAATATAAAGGGTGTTCACTTTTCAGAGCTTATATAACCATTACTACAAAATTATGAAGGAGAAATAGTGCATTTATATATCCTCAATGTGTACTTTCCTACTACACTTTCTCACTCTCTCCTCTTGCCCACACTATCTTGTCCTAGCATATGTTCCTCTCTCTTTCTCTCTCTCTCTCAGTACTACATTTGAACTCAGGGCCTCATGCTTGCTAGGCAGGTGCTCTACCACTTGAGATACTCTGCCACCCTTTTTGGTGTTGTGTATTTTTGAGATAGAGTCTCATGACCTATTTGCCTAGGCTGGCTTTGAACCACCATCCTCCTGATCTCTACTTCCCAAGTAGCTAGGATTATAGGCAAGAGTCACTGGCGCTTGGTTGATACATGACAAGGACCTGATGGTACACGCCTGTAATCCCTGCAACTCAAAAAGCTGAGGAAGGAGGATCCTGAGTTTGAGGCCAGCCTGGGCTACAAACCAAGACTCTGTCTGAAAACTCCAAAATGAGGAAAAGTGAGAAAAATGCTTTGTGACAACATGGCAAACCTAGTTCTCTGAAATCATACCATGTCTAATTTAAACTTTATAAAGCTGACCATAACGGCTATTTTATAACTTCTTAAAAAAACCAGAATAGTTTTCTCAAAATAGTTTGTACTTCATATTTCCCTATTAAAAAGTTAAGATTTAAAAAAAGAAAATGTTCACATTTATTACAGTAAAGGGAGGCTAGTATTGGTCAGGGAAGGTTTCCTAAAAGAGGTAGTATCTCATATAAACCTTAAAAGATGATTACGATTTCAATAGCCAAAAATCCTAAGAAAACAGGACATTAAGTATAGTCAGAAATCATAGCCTGTGAGGATACTGAAAAAAAGTATGAAAATACTTAAATAAAAAGTTTAGGAATTTGAAGAAATCAGTTTATAACAATTTAAGTCAGCAAAATGAGATCTCTCCTTTGTGCTCCAAAATATACCCTGAAAAAAATTTACTACCAATTAACTTTTAGAGCCCAAAGAATATCAATACTACATGTGATTTTTTTTCCATATATGATTTACATTAGAGCAGCTGTAACCAAGAAAACCTAAATAAACCCTTCAACCTCACTTGCTTTCAATTGGCTTTAAAAATCATTAATTATAAAGAACATACAACTCAACAATATGATTGTTAGTCTGCCACTGGATTGGCTGTATATGATACCTCTGGGTGAAGCTACCTAACAGGTTAAAACCACTGACTTTTTCAATTTTCCCCAGTTCTCTGGTGAAACATGCCTTCTGTATCTTAATGATTAACTCCAAAATTAGCTATTCCTGGGAAAGGCAACTAAAAAGGCAAAATCAAGAGCTTACTAATCTGTAACTTTTCTCTAGAAAACAGAAAACACTGAAGTGTGAGCCCAGGATTTGCTAAGCTTGCTCTTTAATTAAAAGAGAATCAATGGTTAACTTGAAGGAAAATATCGTGTTTATCAAAAAAATTATAGGAACTGGTCTAGAAGATGAAAATCGATTGTTATCTCATGAACATACTAATAGAAAACATAGGTCCTGGATGACAAAGTCCCCACTCTGTATGTAGCCTTCCTGCCCACTGCTCTGTCCGTGCTTCTCCTTTCCCTCTCTATAAAAGGCCTTTGCACCCCTACATTCTCTAGAACAGTCTTGTTGGTGATAGCCATCCATCTTCTTTGATGTACTGGCTTTCCAAGTAACACTTTTTCCTTGCCTTAATGTGATCATAAGTCACTGGCTTTTTCAAGTGGCAAGTAAATGAACTTGGTTAGGTAATACAGTGAGATCAGAGAAAGAACATCAGGAGGAGGGAATTAAAGACACATTTCAAAGTAAGCATAAAGTGTCCCATAGAAAATTAATCTTATCTATTTTCATTCACATACATGCACACAAAAAATCTGAGAATGTTCAAAATCCAAAACTAAAAATAGAAAAAGTACTTACTGTAACACAACCTTTAGAAATTCCTTTTATTTTACCAACATACACAGAAGTAAATACAAAATCCACTTGTAGATCCAGCTCACTATTAGGTATAATACAGGAAATGTTTTCCATGACAGAATTATATGGACTTAACTCAGATGATACCTAAAAAAAGAGTAAATCAAAAATGTTTATAGCCATGAATATTATATAAAAGCTAAAAATTATTTTCAAGGTCAAATCCTCCTTTAAATTACTATCAATGAATTTGTGAAGAATTTTATACTGTTCTTAATGTACAAAAAGTTATCTAGATTCCTTTTCTGAAAAGGTGTATTATTTATCTTAAGAAAATTGATTTCACAGGTCTGAACTCCAGAAATATATCCCCCTCTATATCACCAAAGTCATGGTTTCCAATTTGATATTCCAATTGGTTTTATTCATTTTTAACTGAACTGAAATAAATTTTGATTAATATACTGCTTTAGTTTAAAATGAGTTCTTAAATATTATTATGTCTTTTAATCTGCCATGCTATAGATAATCCTCCCCTTTTCATAAATAATGTTAATAGAAGGCTGAAATGAGTAAGTAACTTTGCCTGAGGAGATACAGTCAGTAAGAAGCAAAACTAAAACCCAAACTCAGGTTTTTGTCTCCAAGTCAAGTATTAAACCACACAAAATTGGTTCAATTAACCATGATAATGCTCTTGCTCTTGGACTTTTAATGAACAATTAATGAATGTAAATGCTTAAGAACCATCTGTTACATCAAATCTATATGCTTTATTAAAGATTTTATGTTTGAAGACAGCCAACTAGAAATGGTTCTCAGATGCCTAAAACCTCAAAAAATCATACCACTTCTTAAATAATTACACAATTCTGTTTTTAAATAACATACAATCAAACAGGCCTAGTGGCTCATGGCTGTAATCTCAGCTATTCTAAAGGCAGAGATCAGGGAGGATCACAGTTCAAGACCAACCAAGGCAGAAAGTTAGGAAAATCACGTCTCAGCCAACAAGTTGGGAGTGGTGGTGTGCAACTGTTATTTCAGCTAAGCAAGAGCCCTTAGGTAGGAGAATTTCAGTATAAGTCCAGCCAAGGGCAAAAATGTGAGACCCTATCTGGAAAATAACTAAACCAAAAAAAAAAAAAAAAGGCTAGGGGCGGTGCAGCTCAAGTGGTAGAACACCTACCTAGCAATCACAAGGCCCTGAGTTCAAATCCATATACTGCCAAAATAAACACAACCAGGAAGTATCAGTAGCAGGTCTGTCCCACAATCTCTTCCAAATTTCACACTTCTTTGAGATGGTCTTTTCAACTCCATATTTACCTAGCATCTACATTATCCCTCTTTAAGTTCAATATCATAAACAATCTAGTAATTTCCACTAATGCAATTATTATTCATGTGTATTCACTCTCCTTCTAGCATATTATTAATCCTCATATAAAACATGTATTATACTCATTATTAATCTAGCATAATAGCTGGAAAAACTGTCATTTTCATCTTTTATTGCTTACGATACTATTATTTTATTCCTTAAGGAAAGAGGGATAATCAAATCAATTACATGTGACTTCAATCAGACAAATAACTATGACTTTTTTAGCTACAAAATGAGAATAATTTCTTAACGAGCCTTACATTTTTCAAGGACTTCTCCTAAAAATGACCAAACCATCTTTATCATAACTTCATTTAAAATTGGAAACAAAGCAGGGCATGGAGATGTGGCGTTCTGCCTTTTTATATAGTAACTGGTCTCTACAGTATTTGCTATAGAGATGTTACTTTCTAGAATATAACTATTTCATACTACATTGTTAATTTACGTATTTCCAAGGCAACTATAATTCATCTACAAGTTTAAACTAACAATAAATATATGTCCAGTAAGAACCACAGAAAAATATTCAAGCCATAAAATATTTAGACTGAAAGAGCATAAATGACTAGAAAAAGAGGCCACAAATCTTTCATTTAAAAAATAAAGGCAAATATTTCATTAAAACTAATATGAGCTGGGCACCACTGGCTCACGCCTGTAATCCTAACTACTCAGGAGGCAGAGATTGAGAGGATTAAAGTTCAAAGTCAGCTTGAACAAATAGTTTTGCAAGACCCTATCTCAAAAAAAACCCATCACAAAAAAGGGCTGGGGTAGTGACTCAAGGTGTAGGCCCTAAGTTCAAACCCCAGCACCACAAAAAAAAAAAATAAATAATAAATAACTAATTATGAAAGTTGTCTCAAAATTCAAACTAAGAAAATATATAATAATCTTTATAAAATATTCAACCTGTTAAAATAATTTTAACAAGTCACTAGCCAATAAGTATATTTTACCATTAATATGTGAGAAAACAGAAATAAATTACCTGTGCAGATTCACATGTAGCCAGTGGTACTTCTGATTCAGAAGTACTCTCATTTTCATTAGCAATCTCATAGTCTTGATTAGGCTGTAATTTAAGAATTCCTGAACTTTTATGTTCAATGGGTCCTTCTTCATCACTGGAAACAACAACTAAAACAAAAATGCATTTAAAATGTATCACAATCATCACCAGTAAGAAAACTTTCTAATATATCTTTTAAAATCTCAATAAATTACTATCTAATTTAAGCTAGTTATATACAATGTTTTCATATAACTTTACCTTCTGGAGAATAAAGACCTTTAAAAGTGGATAAAAGCTGGGAGCCAGCGGCTCACACCTATAATCCTAGCTACTTGAGAGGCTGAGATTGGGAGGATCTCAGTTTAAGGTCAGCACAAATAGTGTGTGAGATCCCATCTCAAAATAACCAGACCAAAATGAATTGCAGGTGTGACTCAAGCATTAGTTTCTGCTTTGTAAGGTCCAAGTGCCACCCACAACAAACAAACAAAAAAGGATAAAGGTATAAGCAAACCTGCTATTGTTTGTGTAGGACTCCCTCAAAAGTTCACGTGTTAAAGGTTTAGTCTTCAGAATGGCACTATTGGGAGGTTGTGAAACCTTGAGAAGATGGTGGAACCTCTGGGAGGTGGGGTCTAATAAAAGGGAAGGTCATTGGAATGTGGCTCTGGGGATTTGGGGACCCTTGCCTGAACTGTCATTTCCTTGAATAGCTTCCATCAAGGGCTTCTATCAGGACTACGGTATAAGTGATTTTGCTACCACCCTCCACTTCATGACACTGCCATCAGGTTTTCCTACTAGAGACTAGTTTCTAAATTAAATAAATCTGGATGATTAATTTACTGAGATTATTATAGATATACTGCATTAATTAGAAAATCACTGTTTCCATGTACTCTACTTGTTTACCTAATTTGATATTAAAGTACTCATAAAGGAAATTTCAGGATGTTTTTCCTGAAGTCAATGTATTCCACAGTGATGTCATAAAGGCTTGTTGGCCTTAGCAAAATTTGAAAAGAGAAAAGAAAACTGAGAAAATCATAGAAATGTCTTTACGATCTTCCTGTTACTTACTTGGTTCAGCTGAGATCAATGATTGGTTTTCTTCATTGTGTCCACTTAGAAGAAGCTTTTCGACTGTATTCAACTCATCTTCACCCTTCTCAACCATGGAAGAAATCTCCACCATATCAGTGGAAATAGAACTCCCCAAATTTTTGGAAACTGAATAGGCAGAGGCACTTCTGGAGGCAGCACTCAAATTCAACTCCTGAATATCAAGTGAGACAATTCAATATCACTTTCTGTAGGTTCAGGTGTAATTTCTTCAAGCAGTGTTGGGTCCTGATGATAGTTTTTGCTTAGTTTTTCAAACTCTGTGTAGACTGTTGAGTCATTTTCTTGTTCTTTCTGAACATAAATAAATGTACAGAAAATTAACATTTTTTTCCAATGGCTTCCTTAAAGAGTATTTCTAAGGCTCAAGCCTATAAAGAATAATGTTAAAATAAAAATAATATATAATTTATACAACTACATGGATAGAAAAGTATACAATTATGCTACCGTATGCTTGGCAGCATCTCCAAATATAAAGATGTAGGGTAAGGTCTGTTCAATCCAATGCCTAAGCAATTTCTAAAGGGTGAGATGAGGAAATGCCCATCCTTACGAAGTGATATAGGTCATCTCCCATGAGCTAAGTCAACTTTAGAAAGAGAGGATTTTTTTTGAAATTTCTATTTGCAAAAGTAAAAAGGTCATATAACCAACTACTTCATAACAAAAGCAAAAAATAATCAGGAAACATTAAAATTACAAAAATAATGCTTTCAATCTTTCTGTTACTGTGTCAGTCTAAATCATGTTTATAATTATAACCCAAAATCCTGAAGTGACTTGTGAATCCAAGGAATCAAAATGTTGTCTCGTCTTTCCTTGCAGATTCTAACTGGTACTTCTTTTTGTAAAAGCATAAAATCTGAGGCTGTGTCCACCTTCCTTGTGTGAGTAGAAGAGTAGTAGATATGAACTGGAACTGTAGAAGAAGTCCCAACTATTGACTGGACAAACTGCAGAGAGCATAGCTCTATAAATATATCTCAGTCCTTGAACATTCAATGGAAGTTTTCAACATAACAAGCTGTAATCACTAGATAATCTCAATTATAAGGAAACTTTCCACAGTAAGGAAGGTGATACAATGCATCAGAGGTATGTTTCAGAGCTATCTGGGATGTGGAGGTACCAAGTATAGTTTTTTCCTTGACAACCATGAAGTCATCTAGCAGGCCTAGATCCTCTCTGGATACCATTACACTACAGTCAACCAGTGTGAGTGATGGTTAAACTTGATTGCCAACTTGATTGGATTGAGAAATACCTAAGAGATAAATAAAGAAAGTACACCTTTTGGTGTGCCTGTGAGGACATTTCCAGAGAGGATTTCCAGGGAAGACCCACCCTGAGTTTTAGTGTTATCTTCCCATAGACAAAGAACCTGGATATATACAAGAAGAAAGCCCATTTCTCTCTCTCTCTCTCTCTCTCTCTCTCTCTCTCTCTGCTTCCTGGCTGCCATGAGGTTAGCTTCTCTGCTTCACCACACCTTCCCTGCTATGATATAATAAAACCATAAGCCAAAATAAATCTATTATTCTAAAAAATCTATTATTTCTAAAAAAGAAATGACTATTACAAAAAAATCAGTACTACAGAAATGGGATATTGTGGGATATGATTACCTGACCATGTGGTTCTGAAGGTTTTGGAACTGGCTTGTAGGAAGAAATTGAAAGTTTTGGAAAGGTAAGCTAGAGAAAGCCTAGTATGCAGTAGGGAGAGCTTGATGGGCGATACTGGTAGGCCCTCAGAAAATCAAAATGCTGATAGGATTGCTGAGGGTAAAGACTGTTCATGAGGATTCAGACAGAAACAAGGACTCTATTGGGTATTGGAGTAGAACCCATTTGTATTACACTGCCACAAAGAACTTGTCTACACTTTTTGTCCATGCCCTGAGACTTTGTGGGACATTGAGTTTAAAGGTGATGGACTAAGTAATTTGGCAGAGGAAATTTCCAGGTAGTGCAGCATTCAGGGTCACATGGTTATTGCCAGCTGCTTTTAACCAGGTTTGTAATGAGAATTGGGAGCAAAAGCAGAGTTTAAAAACATGCAGTTCTGCCAGAAAAGGAACACAGTTGGGGCCAAGGAAGGTGTGGTTGTTGAAGAGATTACTGTCATTAAAATGAAGCCAAGTAGTTTGTATTAGGATGGTAAGAAAGATGCCTTGTGCACATCTAAGGAACCAGTAAGAACCCACTCACACAGGCTGTCGGGGATAAAAGTGCAAACTCGCCTGAAGCTTCTCCTTTAAAAAAGAACACTGCTGAGGAAACCTGCTCACTCAGGGATGCCTATAGGAGCATTTCCCTGGCTTTAGATGCCCAGGGAATCAGAGGGCATTGCAGCCATGGTCCACAGGCACCCTAGTCACTGCAGGAGCTGTGGCAGATCTCATAATCATCCAGGCATACAGAATGCAAAAGTAGTTACAGAGTTATGGGAGGCCAGGCAATGAATAGTGTTGGAGTCTCTAAAGGTAGCCTCTGAGAGGGTGATGTGTGAAACTTTAACAGTGAAATGGAAGATGCAATGGAGACCCCAGGAAGTTAGAAATGCCAGAAGCATGGAACAGAATGCCTGCTGAGCAAAGCTGCAGGCACAGAAGAGAGCCACTCCATGAGAGAGGCCATGTGGGATGTAACAGCAAGGATATGAGGTGGAGTTTCTAAAGTCCTTTGGAACTCACATCCTACCACCACATGCTCCAGATGCCAGACATGGAGCTACAGGATTTAATGTCTGCCCTATGGGTTTCAGTCTTGCTTTGGTCCAATCATTCCTTACTATTCTTGTGTTTCTCAATTTGGAATGGGAACATTTATTTACTCTGTGCCACTGTATTCTGGAAGTATGTAATCTGCTTTGATTCTACAAGGGCTCACAGCTAAAAGAGTGTTCCTTGAGTCTCAGAAGACACTTTTATACTTGGACTTCTGAGCAACATTGTAATTATTAGGACTATAGGGACTCACAGAAATGGACTGAATGCATTTTGCACTATGAGACGAACATGAGCCTTTTTGAGGGCTAGGGGTAGAATTTTATGGCTTAAGGAAGTGTGTTTGGGTGTCAAATTGAAAAGGAGTGAATTTGGGATGGTTAATCTTGATTTTCAACTTGATTGGATGATTGAATTGAGAAGTGCCTAGGATATTAGTAAAGCACACCTCTAAGTGTGCTTGTGAGGGCATTTCCAGAGAGGATTAAGTAAAGGGAAAAAGACCTTCCCTGAATGTGGACAGTACTGTAGTACTGTAAGGGGGAAAAAAGAAAGTTCTCTACTGTAGGCATATTCTTTCTTTTTCTTTTTCTTTCTCTTCTCTCTCTCTCTCTCTCTCTCTCTCTCGCTGTCTCTCTCTCCTCTGCCCCCAAAATAAATCTTTTCATATTAAATGAAAAAAGAGTTGTCTCCATATACTTTTATTGATAACCATAAAATAACTCTTAACTCTGAAAACAGATAATGTATACATTAAGGATGGTATTTACTTACAACAAATTGCCCAGACTAGAAAAACATAGGATTAAAGAAATTGGTAAGTAAATTGCTACTGATCAAAGAAATCTAACAGTAATTTTACAGAGCAAGTGAAGGAAGTGACTTGGCAATATGACAGCATTTGGTTAAAATACGAAAAAAGAAAAGAAACCTGAAGGACATACACCAAATTCCTAAGGAAAGAGTAGAATCACAGAAAAAGTAACTTTGATTTTTGAAAGCTAATAAGAGTATTATTTGGCCACAGTGACCTCATTTTTATCACAGCACAACATTATTTCCAATGACCTCTACTTACCATACATTCTATTGATTTATCCAAACAAGGAGTAGAATTATGAGAATCAGGTAAATTATTTCTAACCCTCTTCTTTGTCTTCCTGGAAATCAGAGTGGGTTCCATTTTTGAATTAGAATATGTAACATCCTTGTTTCTGCTTCCCTCTTCAAGATAATCACAATCTCTTCTTCCACTGTTAAGGTCTTAAAAAACAGAAGAGGCATAAATATGACCAAAAAGTACAGAAAAATCCCTTTTAGAGGAACTCAAAGCATTATCATCAAAATTGTTATACTACTTCCAAAACTTGTATTGACAAATATTGACACTGAATGAATGTATAGGTATATCCTGTATTAACTTGTTTGTACAAAGTAAATGTTCATTATACAATAGAGGTGAGAAAAATACATGGAGAGGGAGTACCTTTTTTGAGAGTAACCAACACAAAGTAATCAAACCATGCTTTTCCATTTGGCATAAAGGCATTTGATGGTAACACCAAAATCAAATTAAAAAGGTCTTAATAAAATAATGCCTTAACTTGATTCGTGTCTTAAAAAAGGTTTGAGGGGGACAATGTGGCACAAGGCTGTAATCCCAACTATTCAGAAGGCAGAGGCAGGAAGAACAAAACCAGCCTGGGCAAAGTTAGTGAGACACTACCTCAAAAAACAAAATACAAATAAAAGGGGTGGTCAAATGGCTCAAGTGGTAAAGCACTTGCCAACCATGCAAAAAGCCTTCAGTTCAATCCCCAGTACCACAAATTAAAAAAAAAAAAGTTTAGATAACTAATTGTCATTTTATAAACTAGCTGTCTTTTTTTTAAAGTGTAATTTGCATATGTACATATTTTAAGGGGAAAGGGGCTATAATTTGAAAGTACAGAATGTAGATTGTCGGTTTTTAAAAATGAGCCAACATATCCTTCCTCAGCAGTTGACTGTGCCATGTGATCACTCACAAGGCTACCAATTTAATTTAGTTTTTTTTTTTTATAATCAAGACCCTGTCCAAGTCTCCAATAAATTGGCTATTCTGAAGAGAAGTGATTCCTTTTCAAGTCAACAAAGCATCATTTTGAAACCCATGCCAGTCATCACTAAAAATTGAGCATTTTAGTTATCAAATATATGTACTACAAAAAATATCTTCCAAAACGTTTTAAGTAACTGAAAGTTATCCTAAATTATTTTACTTTGTACACTGGATAAGTTTAGATTGGACGAGCTCCCACTCAAAGTATACATACAAGTCACAGAGCAGCTTTCTTTAATCCATGTAACAATGATCTAGCATCTTCCTTTACTTCCCTATGTTCATCTAACAATGACTGGCCTGACCTTTCCATTCATTCAAAATTCTTCAACACTACTCACCTCCTTCCATTTATTTTTTATTGTTTGAGGGACTGGGGTTCAAACTAAGAGTCTCACACTTGCAAAGCAGGCACACTACCGCTTCAAGCCACACCTCCAAGGTCATTTTGCTCTAGTTATTTTGGCAATGGCATCTCTCAAACTATTTGTCAAGGCTAGTCTTAAACCAAGATTGTTCCAATCTCAGCCTCCCAAGTAGCTAGGATGACAAGTCATTAGCCACCAGCACCTCACTGACTCACACCATCTTTGTAAACTAAAATTGCTCTTACTCTAATTTCAACAACTCTTAATAACTAATATCCATAATACTGGGACAAGATTGAAGGCAAAATCTTCGAGTCAATTGTCTTTCAATTTCCAAAGAAAACACTTTACTCATTCACCAAGAAAATAAACTTCCTCCAAATTATTTACACAGTATTTAGAAAAGCACTTTAAATTTTATTTGTAATATTTTAATTCATAAAAAATTTCTTAACATAAATACCATACCAAATTATAATTTCCAAGCATAAATACTTATAGTAAAAGACTGAAAAAGGGGCTTCAGGAAAAACTCTATTATATAGGAGTTTTCTTTTAAACAACAGTAATTAGTAAATATGTAAATAATAGTATTTACATATCAGTTAAGTTAAAACAATAATAACTTTAGTATATAGAGCTAGACATTGTAGAAGATTCTACCTATATAATTTATACAACCTAACATGGAATTATTGCTAGTATATAAAATTTAAAAGGTGACAAAACCTACAAACAAAAAAATATTAAGTATTCCCCATCTATTATTATGGTAAAAGAAATTCCACAGGCAAATTCAATGTACTACAAAAAGAATGATATACCTGGGTTTTAATACTTTTCATTATTTTATAGGTTTGTATAGTATTAGACACAATTATCTACAGGACAGGAAACATCCTGAGTTTCAACAAAGGTTCAATAGCTAATTTTCTTATGAACATGTAACCTACCACTTTACCTTCAGGGATATTAAAAAAAACTATAAAGTGTGTTTTTCAATCATGCATTTTTCCCTGATGCATGTCTAAACCTCTACTGTGACCCTGAACTAATACAATTACTCACTCGTATCCCTGGGTTCCACATCCATAGATTCAATCAACAGTACTAAAAATGTACAGACACTTTTTCTTGTCATTATTCACTAAACAATACAGTACAACAACTATTTACATAGCACTTACTTAATTAGGTATTATAGTAACCTAGAGATACTTTAAAGTATATGGCGAATATGCATGTTATATATGCAAATATTATCTCATTTTCATAAAAATGACTGGTGTCTGCAAGAGGAAGAGAGGGGGAGTTACAAGAACCTATTCTCATGGATACCAGGGGAAGACTATATTTAGGGACAACAACCAGAAAATTTGTAACTGAAATACTCCTACTCTACCCAATAAAGCAGTAGAATGTAAGGGATGAAAATTATTTTAAGAGTACCAGAACTGAGCCCACTTGTACAAACACTTATATTTTTTTTTTTTCATTTTTCTTTTATTATTCATATGTGCATACAAGGCTTGGTTCATTTCTCCCCCTTGCCCCCACCCCCTCCCTTACCACCCACTCCACCCCCTCCCGCTCCCCCCCTCAATACCCCGCAGAAACTATTTTGCCCTTATCTCTAATTTTGTTGTAGAGAGAGCATAAGCAATAATAGGAAGGAACAAGGGATTTTGCTGGTTGAGATAAGGATAGCTATACAGGGCATTGACTCACATTGATTTCCTGTGCGTGGGTGTTACCTTCTAGGTTAATTCTTTTTGATCTAACCTTTTCTCTAGTTCCTGGTCCCCTTTTCCTATTGGCCTCAGTTGCTTTAAGGTATCTGCTTTAGTTTCTCTGCATTAAAACACTTATATTTTTATTTCATAAGTGAGGGCAAGTATTTCTAGGAAAAGTTTATTTCATAAGAAAATAAATGTCCTTCTTGAATGCTGACCATACTTAGTGGCTAAGTGAAAGTTTATTTATGTACTGAAGTACATAAATAGTAGGTTTAGAGATTTTCTTTGTGTTGCTAAATAATCTCCCTTTATTTTCATGTATCTTTTTAATGTAAGGTAAAATAAGTACTTATAACTTAAAACCATTATAAAATCAAATTCCAACAGTGTTCTAAGGTTCACAAACCTTGAGGCCGAGTACCACACATCACAAGAGAAATCCTATCTTCATCTCTTCGCTGTTCTTTAGCATGTGTGGCCTGCTTTGCAGAAACATTATCGACTGTCTTACTTAGTTGTGAACCCCTGCAAAACAGAATTGTATTTACTCAATCCTAATAAAGACCAAAGAAATTTAGAAGCCAACTGACATACAGTCAAAGTAAGTCACAAATACATTCCCACTGGAAAGTCTATATGATCTGGACTGTGAAAAAAACTACTAAACTCAGATTTGAGAAATAAGTTCTCATCCCAGGACTGCCTTTAAATTTCCCTTATGTCTCTCAGGGAAAAAAACAGGATATCAAAATGAGTAAAAGAATAATCACATATAAGTATTAAATTAGTCAAAAATGTAAAAAGTAAAATTCCAACAACATAAATACCATCATAATAAACCTGTGTTTTATACAATTATAACCAAAAGCTAGTTATTAATATATTTCAAACATAGTTCAAAAAATCAAAACTTAAGTACAAAATAAAGATTGGAATGTGATGACAAATTTTATCTATACAGGAAATAGCTTAAAATCTATGATAATGGTTAAATATTTAAAATATAAGATTGAGTGAAAAACAAGTTTTGGTGTGACAAGCAAGACATCACTTTTAATAAAACTTTCAAAATAAAAAACATACTCTCATGTGTAAGTGCATACATATGAAATAAAATATAAAAATTTGGGCCAAAAGGACTCAAATCTATTTGGATAGTGGATAACTCTAAGAGGGAGGGTACAGACTCAAGAACTGCAGTATAAATGAAGTCTTGGCTTTCTATACCATTTCTTAAAAAGTGTAGGTAAATTTGATGTAAGGAAGATACTAGTTAAAGCTAAGTAACATGTACTGTAATATTACTCTCTGCACTTATGAATACATTTAGAATAGCTTAAAACTTGAAAATATAATGTGTTCACGATTACAATGACCCAAATAAGTGAAAAACAAGTACTATAAAGATCAGTAACACATGATCCTTCTTTGTTTTGACAGAAATGATTAGGAATATAAAAAGTCAAATTATAAAGCTGCAGTATCCAAACATTACCAATATAGTGGTACAGTAAAGAAATAGTTATTACTGTTACTATTTTGCTCATCCTTTTCATATTTTATCTTGGCACAATTCCCTTACTTTTAAGTTATAAAACTCAGCAATTTCATTTACAAAAGATTCGGATGAAGTTGAATCATTCTACTCTCAATCCTCAAGAATCAAGCTTGAGGACACCCACCCCTAGCATCTCTTGGTAAGTGACCAGGAGCAGCTGAAGAGCAGCCACTCTTGGAGGTGAGTATAGGGGAAAGGTGCTGAAGTTTCCATTGTGAACAAATTTTAAAAAGGAAGGTAGACGCTTTGGAGGTGGAACATAAGACAGCTCTAGCAGGGAAATAATGCCCAGTATGAAACACGGGTACAGAGGGATAGGACTGAAGGGAAAGAAAGAACAAAAACTTCAAGAGAACACGCTTTATAGTTTCAGAAGTGAACAGACAGGATCTTATTATTTAAGGAAAAAAACAAGGGTTTTGGAGAGCAGAACAGGAAAAAGAGAACTCTTCAGCAAGTGGTTTGGGCAGAAGTAGCATGGCAGAGAGAGAAGACAGCAGAGATGAAACATAGTAGATACTCCAAAAGCACACTTGACACTGGAGCCGACACCAAGCAGATTCCTTGTCTAGTCAGACAGGGGTCCAGGGACCCGTACAGCATATATGCACCCAGAAACTTTTCTCTTCCTCCCAGCAGCAGGTCATGTGTACGTATGAGATTTGTAAAGACCCTGGGCAACTTTAGAAGGCAGAAGCCCAGGTCAGGTCTATGGGAACACACAACAAAGACTGAGTACTTTTCCACTGCGTACTTACCAAGAAAGCAAGAGAGTGAAAAGTCTGAGTCAGGAGAATTCCACCTGAAAAATGATCCAAACTGGGAATAGAAGCTAATTCCTAGCTGGACAGAGCACAGGAGAGGAGCAAGGGAGACCCCAAGGATAAAGGCCCCAGCAGTGCACGTATAGACGACTTCTCCACTCCATCTTTCGACATGCTGGTAGGAAGGTAAACTTACAAGTGGCCCCATCCAGTCCTAAAAAGTAGCTACAGCAGGCTCTCTCCCCTGTTAACCCTTCCTCTGGTTGCTAGGGAACCATACAAAGACCAGAGAAAGAAAAGTTAGTCAGCTTTTCTGCTGGAATTCACTGCTAGAGAATTTGAGCTGCAGAGTAAGCAGAAAAGGCACAACTGGAACCTATCTTCCCTTTTTATTTAAAGAAAATATATAGGTTTTATTTTTGATATTTGGTTTTATTTTCCCCATTTTTTATTTTATTATTACTTACATAGAATTTTTAAACCAGACCAACTGGTTTTAATTTCACATATAAATTTGTATTCTATTTTCATATGACTTCCATTTTTTCTCTATTTTGCTTTAAATTCTCAAATATTACTTCACTTAATATCTAGTTGCTTTGACCTCATTTGCCTGGTTCAAGGGTAATATTTGTTTTTGTTTTTAAATTATCCTTAAGATAGGCTCTGATAATAAAGCCCAAATTGTCCAGGACTGCCTCAGCCCTAAGGGGCAAGAATATAAATGTGAGCCACAGCAAGCAGATTTTAATAATTTTTAACCACCTCTTCATCACTTTCCTGTCTCCCATCTCCATTTTCATTCTCTTTTTCCGTCCTCAATTATATCAGTTTTTTTCTCTCATTTTCCTTCTTTCTCTATTCCTTATTCTACCATTATCCTTTATTGACATTCTTTTCAACTGCTTTTTGCTGGACCTTATCATTATTATTGTTGTTATTTTTCTACCCAAAGAATTGGCTCCATATATATAAATCGCAGACACAGAAACATAAATCTGAAAAAAAAAAAAAAAGGCAACATGGTTCCAAAAATCAACAATTACACAATGGATTTTAATGATAGTGTAATCAATGAAACTCCAAAGAATTGCAAAGACTGATTCTAACAAAATCAAAGAGGCCATGAATAAACACCTGCATGAATTCAAAGACTTTACAAATAAAAGGCTGAATGAAACAAGGAAGAAAATTCAGAAAATAAAAGAGGAATTCAATAAAGAAATAAAACCTTGGAAAAATCAAATTGAAATTCTGAAGATGAAAAGCTCAATAAGTCAAATATAAACCTCAGTTAAGGGGCTGGCAGAGTGGCTCAATTGGTCAGAGTGCTTGCCTAGCAAGTGTGATGCCCTAAGTTCAAACCCAAGTGCTGCCAAAAAAAAAAATAATAATAATAATTAAAGGCAGGAGGTGGCCTTAATTAAAGGTATCAAGTGATACAGCATTTGCCTAGCAAGTGCAAGGCCCTGAGTTCAAACCCAATTTCACAAAAATATACTCGCAGTTGAAATTCTCATCAACAGACTATATCAAATAGAAAACAGAAAATCAGAGCTTGAAGACAAAGTAGACAAAGTAGAACATTCAAATAATAATAAAGAAAAGTACAAACAAAATATATAAGGTCTCTGGGATGCCATAAAAATATCATACCTATAAATCATTGGCATAGAAGAATGAGAAAAGATACAAGCTAAAGACATAGAAAACATATTTAATAAAATAATAATAGAAACATTTCCCAAAACTAGGGAAAGTACCATCCAAGTAGAAGAGGCTTTAAGAACACCTAACAGCCAAGACCAGAAAAGAAACTATCTACATCATATTATACTTAAATATTAAGTGTACAGAACAAGGAAAGAATATGAATGATAGATTTCTCAACAAAACTCAGTACCACAAAAAAAAAATCAGTACCTTTTCTATAAACCAATAATGAACAATCTGAAAAAGAAATCAGGAAAACAATCCATTTACAATAGCCTCAAAATTTAACACCAAAAGAACAAATAATCAGTTCTCAAAGAAGTACCAATGACCAATAAACATTTTAAGACATGTTCAATATCCTCATAATTCCTCATAAAGGAATGCAAATCAAAGCAACACTGAGATTCTATATCATCCTAGTCAGAATGGCTATCACCAAGAAAATAAGAAACAACGAATGTTGGTGAGGATGTGGGGGAAAAGGAACCCTTGTACACTGCTGGTAGGAAAAGTACAGCCATTATGGAAATCAGAATGAAAGTTCCTCAAAAAACTAAAATTAGAACTATCATATGAGCCTGCCACACCACTCATGGACATCTACCTAAAGGAAAATATGTCAGGATACAATAGAGATACTTGCATACCCATGTTTATTGCAGTACTATTCAGAATAGCAAAGTTATAAAATCAACTGTGTGCACATCAACAGATGAATGGATAAAATAAATGTATATATATACACAATGGAATATTATTCAGCCATAAAAAACAAAATTATGTCATGGGCAAAAAAAATGGATAGAAATGGAGATCATCATGTTACATTAAGTAAGTCAGACTTAAAAAGACAAATACCTTATGTTTTCTCTCAGATGCCTAATCTACAGCTTTGCTCAGTGACTAATGCCTGTAGTCCTAGATGCACAGGAGAAGGAGATTAGGAGGATCACAGTTTGAAGCTAGTCTGAGCAAACAGTTTAAAAAGACTCCATCTCAACCAATAAAAATCTGGGCATGGTGGCATGTACCTGTCATAGCAGTTCTGGCCCACTCCAGCATAAAAGTGCAACCTTATTCAAAAAATAACTAAAGCAAAAAGGGCTGTTGGCAATACTCAAGTGGTAGAGCACATGCCTAGCAAGCTCAAGGCCCTAAATTCAATCCCAAATACCACTGCCAAAAAAAAAAAAAAAAAAGGATATGAACATAAAGGTGGGACTATTTGTGTGGTCCCACAAACAAAGGGAGACACGAAGGGGAAAAGAGAAGAAGGACAATATGATTGGAGTGCAGTATGTTGTGTGAAAAGGTCATAATGAAATCCATATAAAAATTTTGTAAGAAATGTAAAAAGGGGGAAATTGGACGAACAAGGATAAGAAAGAGTAACAGAAGAAGTAAATGTGATCAAAGTACATAATATGCATGTATGGAAATACTACAATGAAACCCCTCACTTTGTACAATTAATATATGCTAATAAA